CATTGGGGAGTACGTCCAGCTTCATGGTGAGCGCTGTGGGGTCGAGCCCTTGGCCTTCCAGGCCGGGCAGGGAGGGCCAGCGACAGAGGGGTGCAAGGCAGCGTACACGGCTGGCCGGGCCCTTTGCTGCGGGTGCTGCTGCGCTGGGAGACCTGAGGCTCGTTCCCACAGGTGGCCTGGACCTGATTGAGCGGCTCCTCCAGGACCCAAAGCTGTCCCAGAACAAGCTGGCCAAGGAGGGGCTGGGGGACATGAAGCTGCTGTTTGAGTACCTGACCCTGTTTGGCATCGTGGGGAAGGTGAGGAGGTGCAGGGGCAGGAGGGGGTGCTGGCCTCATGGCCGGGCAGGCTGGGCCCCCTGAGTGCGCCCGGTGACGGGCCTTCCCTCGCGTCCTACAGATCTCTTTCGACTTGAGCCTGGCGCGGGGTCTGGACTATTACACGGGGGTCATCTATGAGGCTGTGCTGCTGCAGCAGGAGAACGACCATATGGAGGAGCCAGTCAGCGTTGGGAGCGTGGCCGGAGGCGGTCGCTACGACGGGCTGGTGGGGATGTTTGATCCCAAGGGACGGAAGGTGCCCTGTGTGGGGGTCAGCATTGGGATCGAGCGGATCTTCTCCATCCTAGAGCAGAGAGTGGAGGTACGTGCCTTTGGTGCTCAACTAAGAATGGAGAAAGAGCAAGGATTTACATCTTCCCCACATACTCCCAGTCCAGCAGATGCTGAAGTGAGTCTTCCTTCCTGCAGTCTTTGATGGGGAAGCCTCTCAGGCCTCTGCCGTGCTCTGCAGCAGGAGTCAGAACCAGGACATTATCTCCAATTTTCTCTGGCTTGGGAGATCATCTCCGGGGCTTCCACTGGAGACAAAACCCCTGTTGCAGCAGCCCTCAGACATGGCTTGTTCAGCTGCAGCAAGAGGGGGCATTTTAATCCTCAGCAGTACCAGGTACCAGATCAGATGCCTCCGTGTTCCCCACTGCATTAGGCATCCGTGTGACCCCACGTCCTCCTTGGCCAAGGGGCACTGCTCTGCAAGGCTGGCAGGAAGACAGCAGCCTCACGTGTCTACTTGTCCTGCCCAAGGCACTACAGAGACCAGACCGGGATCGGATGTCCCAGGGCAGGGAGCACAGTGCCTCTGGGGGGTTCCCAGATACCTTTTTCCTATTCCCCACTCCTCAGAGTTGCTGCACCAATGTGTTGTCCTCCATCCCAATCAGTGGGTGTTAAATAGGTCTTTGTAGGCTCTCAAAACACTGCCACACATTTCCCTCTCCAAGAGGCCTGTTGTGGGGAGTTCTCTCTTGGCAGCCAGACACATCTGGGATTTCTAAGTGAAAAGTGTATTCTTCCCCCACTGCCCCCAGTCCTGGCCAGGTTTGTTCCTCTGCAGGTGACCTGTTAAAGGCTTCTCCCTTCAGCAAAAGCAGTGTCAGGAAAATGTGACTTTGAGTATCCAGCATCTGGGACAGGAGCAGCTGGCTCCTGACAGCTCTGGAACATCTCATCTTACTGCTATTAATCTAACCCATAGTTACCAGCTCAGCTGTAGAGCAGGCAGCTGCCTCTGTGCAGCTTCTTTTGGGCTTGCTGCTCCGAGCAGATTTCTGGAAGGCCCTTGGGTGTGGAGGAAAAGTCTCTAGGCAGAAGCTAGCAGGGACATTGCTTGTTTCTCAGGACAGCCTCTAGTCTGTGTGCACCTGCAGTGCACAAAGGAGGCTGTGTCAAGTCCATCATGAAACAACTGTAGAAGAGATTCTGCTCCAGGATGGGGTCTGTGGAGCCTCCCTGACTCTCCTGAGTTTATGCTGTTCATCCCACTAAGCCTGATCCTCTTCACCACTAAATTGACGGGCCTGGAGTGGTGATCTGTCCTGCTCATATGCTCTTAGATATCTCCCTATGCCCATGGCATTTTTCCAGTCTTGTCCTCTCTCTAGGCCTCTGAGGAGAAGATCAGGACAACAGAGACACAGGTGCTGGTGGCCTCTGCCCAAAAGAAGCTCCTTGAAGAACGGCTGAAGCTCATCTCTGAGCTGTGGGATGCTGGAATCAAGGTAGGACCGGGTGATAGCAAAGTCAGGAGCTGTGTGGTCCACTCTCTGTGGCAGGAATGGACCAGATCTGGCTTTGCTTTGGGAGGTAGGAGTTATAGGGAGAAGGTGGGCATCAGACTGCCTTCCTGAATGGAGCCTGCCTCTTCTCAGTGTCCCGAATCGGGTGTTCTCCAGCAGGACTTGGTTAGCCCTGTAACGCTGCAGGGGCTGCTCTTTGTTGTCTCAGGACACATTCCCAAAGCAGGCAACACTCCAGCCCCTGCTGCGTGGCAGCTGGGGTACTGTGCTGCTTACAGCAAAAAGAAAAAGAAAAAAAAAAAAGCAGAACCTTGCAAGGAGGGGAGATTGGGGCTGGGGGAGGAGCCTGGGCTGTTTTCTGCAGGCCAAAGGCAAGCTGTGTGGCAGGGCCCTGCTCCCTGCCTGCTGCAGGCAGACTGCCTTGATGGCTGAGTGGAGAATGCCTGAGTGCTCTGCTGTGCTCCTGACCCTGGAGGGACCCCACAGGTGTCAGCCCTGGTCTGACATGGACTCGAGCTAATGACCTGGTGCTTTCCCAGGATAAGCAGTGTCTTGTGAGCACCTTTGAGCTGTGTTGCATTACTCGTTAGCCATAATGCCCGGCCTGCTCCACTAGCCCATCTTCTCCCCCACCACACACCCCCGCGCTCACCAGATGGCAATTAGCAGACTGGCCCGGCAGCGCTTGGTTGAGGGTGTGCAGAGAAACAGGCCAGTGCTGATCATGGTGGTGTGGTCTGGTTCTCTTCCAGGCAGAAGTGCTGTACAAGAAGAACCCCAAGCTGCTGAATCAGCTGCAGTACTGCGAGGACACAGGCATCCCTCTTGTTGCCATCGTGGGTGAGCAGGAGCTCAAGGATGGAGTCGTCAAGCTGCGGGTTGTGGCAACCAGGGAGGAGGTGAGGCCTGTGGGAGTTTGGTGTGAGGGGGGATTGGCTACTTGACCCTTCATCCCAGCTCAGGCCAGCCCTCCAGACTCATCCGTACTCTGCCCTGCGGCGCTGCCGTCAGGTTATACACAGCAAGGTGGCTTTGCTGGCCTGTGCTTTGAGTGTAGTGCCCAAAGGGGAGATCAGAGGAGGAAGGCACTTCCACCTGATGTGAAAAGCCTCCGAGGCTTAACAAAGCTGCTTACACAGAGGGTGTGGTGAAGGGGAGGCTCTCCGCATGCCCTAAGCTGAGTGGCACAAGCCAGGGCTGGCAGGCTCGAGGTGAGGCCTGTGGACTGACGGTGGTGGCCTGGCACTTCTAGAGAGTGGGTGAGGCAAGTTTCCTCAGCCCCCCTTGACTTGCTGTGGAGCACTGGTGTCAGTTTGCCACCAAGCCCCTATAACAGGGTCTCGGGATTTTATACATTGGCTTCCTTATGAGATCTTTTCAAGCAGTGGTCTCTCCAGGGACTTCTCTAACACCTCACATTCCAGTTCCTTGACCCATGCAATTTCCTGGAGCACTGTTGTCTCCAGCTCTGGAGAGTTTCCCATCGTGTGACCCTGAACTCCCAGCTAGTCCTCAGTTCAGGAGCCTGGAACCCGGACGGGCAAGTCAGTGGGCTGTATGACTGCTCACGTTTTCCATCCAGGGTGTGGGACCATTACTGAAGGTCCTGGAGGTGCCCTCTTGGAATGAGTGGGACCAGTGCTGATCTATGCCCTGCTTTTGGCTTTGGAACCAGTAGGAAAAAGCGGGAAGGACATGGTTCTTGTGATCATTGGACAGGAGAGGGTTCGGCAGGGTTGCAGGCACGTGCTTGCTTTCACAGGTTCAGCTTTGCATGCGCTGCAGCCCCCTTGATCCCTGTAGAGGGACTGGTGACAGCACCGTGGTATGATCTCCCGAGACAGAGGACCACGAATGTGATGCAGGCTGTCCCCCTGGGACCAGAGAAGGTCATGATACGTCAAGCTGCTTGCGTTGTATTGAAACAACTTTGTGCTCCCCCTGTGTAGGTCAACATTCGCAGGGAGAGTCTGGTTGAGGAGATCAGGATGCGAACGAGCCGGCCTTAAACCCCTTCCAGACGTGTCTACTCATTTCTTGGATTCTGGCTGACAGATTTCCTCCGGTAAATGCCTTTGTCAGGCTGTGTAGCAGCGGGTGCAGGGCCAGGGGGGCCTTTGAAAGCTGTATTTATTCTTGTCTCGTGCCCCCCCCCCCTTTCCTGGCGGGAGCAGAGAGGTTGCACCAACTCCTACGACATGCCCTGGCCCTCAAGGATGTCGCTGGAAAGATGTTTTACAAGTGGCTGTGGCAAACGCCAGCCTCCTGGCTGCTGTCACTGCGGTGACACGTGGAGCCCCCGCGCTGTCAGCAGAGCTCGGGGTCTTGGCTGCAGCTTCTTGTTCCTGTCGCTTCGAATAAACATCCTGCCCTGGCTCCCTGCTCTGGCTGCAGGGAGGTGACCTTAGCCCAAGCACACTGTAAAGGCGCTGCTCCCAGAAACACAATAAATCTGTCTCTCCCGCTCGGTGACTCCTGTCCGTGCTTTCGGCTCAGGGCAGGGATTTGCTCACCTGCCTCGCTGGGCGAGAGCTGGTTTTTAAATGTCATGGTGGATGTTTCCACCCTCCTTGCCTCTGGATCCCACCGCTGCCACCCCTCTCCGTGCACTATGTGCAGGGCAAAGCCCCCACCGAGGGGGCCCAAGCAGCCCGCTGTGGGCTCCCCACGTCCCAGACACGGGTGAAACCGGTTCCCCCGGCCTCCTGGGGGTGATGAGGGGTGCCCTCCGTCCCCAGCTCCCTTCGCGCCCCACACCAGCTAGGGTTTTTTTTTTTTTTATAAAAACCCGCGCCCCCCGGCTTTCTCGCGTGGGAAGGCGGAGCGCTGGGTGGGTGGGGAGGTGTCGCTGCCCACGGGCCCGCCCGGGGCGGGGCAGCCGCGGCGCGATGGGCGGAGCGGCCCCGCTGGAACTTTCCAGAGCGCGGAGCGGGCGGCGATGGAGGCGGAGGTGGGCGGCGGGGGCCGGGGCCGGGGCCGGGGCCGGGGCAACGGTTCGCCTCGGTGCTTCCCTTCCCGGGGAGGGGTAGTGGTGGTGGAGGCGGGGGGGAGCCCGGGGAGCCCGGGGAGCCCTCGGGCGGGGACAGGAGCCCCCGACACTGGTCCCGGTGCGTTGCCCCCCTCCCGCCCCTGGCGCCCCGGGCCCAGCCCAGCCCGTCCCTCCCCGGTGGGTGAGCTGGGGCCTCGCGGGGCCCGAAGCGGCGGGGTCAGTCGGGCTCCGCCGGGGAGGAGGCAGGTCCCGCCGCTCCGAGAGCCCTGGAACCACCCTGCACCCCCCGTCCCCCCCCGTCCCCAGCCCCGGGGGCTGCAGAACCGCGGCAGGAGGCTCTGAGGCGCGCACCGCCGGTCTTTCTGAACCCGCTCTGCAGAGGTTTCCCCTATATGGCTCCTCACCTTCGTCCCAAAGCGGTTCCTGGGCTTGAGGAAAGATGAAGCCCCTTGGAGCTCGAAAGGTGCCACCACCTGGTGATGCACCTGGAGGTGGACGAGGTGAAGGTGCAGCCAAATTGCGTTTAGCCTGAGCTAGGGCTAGTCCCACTCGGTGTGCAGTTTCAGAGGCCTTAATGAGCTAAAACCTAATGATGTTGCCACCTGGATGGTCGTCAGATCTTCCTTGATGGCCTTAGAAGCCTGAGGAGATGCTGGTAGAAGAAAGTTGGTTGTCTTGGGGGTCACAGCCTGCCTGGGATCTCATGGGCTGCTTTGGCTCTGTGCTCCAGCAGCTTCTTGCAGTGCCAGCGAGCTGCTGCCTGTGTTTTACAAAGCCCTTTCAGGCACCCACAGGGGAACTGTTGGTGTCCTTATGCTTTACTAAAGTTGCTGGACTTAGTCATGTGGAGCAGGCTCGGACAGTGGGCAGGGTAGTCCGTTGGATGCGGAGTGTTGAGAGGCTCCTCAGGTTTCCTGAGGCCAGAGGGGTTCAGCATTTGTTGCTCCACATGCTGGCTGGTGCTAGGCCATGCCGTTGCTTCATGGGGTTGGGATTCTTCCAGTTGAGAAGTTGGAAACTCTTTGCCCAGACAAGCACCGATGTCCTCTCCCTCCTCAGACGTGGACCAACAGTATCAACCAAGCCAATAAGATGGCCCTGCTTGCCTGGGCAAAGGAAACCGGCACCGACTTGGTGCAGATCAACGGGCAGAGGCGATACGGTGGCCCCCCCCCAGGTAGGTGAGAGGAGCATCTCGGCGCCGCAGTGCCCTGGGAGCACAGCACGCAGGGCGCCTGGCAGGCGCGGGGGGGTCTCACTCGCGGGCACCGTGTCACTGTGTGTCTGCAGGCTGGGTGGGCAGCCCCCCGCTCGCCGGCACAGAGGTGTTCATCGGGAAGCTGCCGCAGGACATGTACGAGAACGCGCTCATCCCACTCTTCCAGAGCGTGGGAAAGCTCTACGAGTTTCGCCTCATGATGACTTTCAGTGGGCTCAACCGGGGCTTCGCCTATGCCAAGTACAGCAACCGGCGTGGAGCCAAGGAGGCCATCGCTGCCTTCAACAACTTCGAGGTGCGGGAGGGCTGTGCCATCGTGGTGTGCAAGAGCACGGAGAAGTGTGAGCTGAGCCTGGATGGCCTGGCCACCTCGATGAGCCAGAAGGAGCTGGAAGCCATGCTGCGGCGGGTCACAGAGGGGGTCCACAGCGTCACCCTCTATGCCAGCCCCTGCCAGAAACGGGCCCAGCTTGCTGTGCTGAAATACAGCTCGCACCAGGCTGCTGCCATGGCCAAGAAAACCCTCATGGAAGGTAAGTGGGAGGCCTGGGTGCTGTGGGATGCTGCTTGGGACGCGCTTCCTGATGTCTCTAAGGAAGGACTGATCCCATCTCCAGACTTAGCTGCAAGGTGACTTCAACCTTGAGGCATCCCTTGTTCTCTCCCTGTGTCCTGTGGGAGGCCAGATTGCTGATCCTCAGCAGTCTTTGTGCTGACCTAGTGATGTTTGGGTAAAGGGGCTGCTGGACGTCTTCAGGCAGGTGCCTGCTCAGAGCAGGAGCATCACCAGTACCAGTCCAGGGCATCCAGAACTTTGACCAAGTTATTAAACCCTCCTGCTGGAGATGCCCTGCCTCTCAGTGCCCCGGCCCACAACTGCATTGCCCTCCGGTGGGACATGTTTCCCAGACGTCCAGCCAGAACCTCCAAAGTCCTGATTTATACCTGTTTCTACCCCAACTGAGAAGCTTTTGGCTTTGACGTCTTTGCACCTGTCCCTAAAGGCAGGCTGCCCCTAAAATCCCCGGAGCTTTGCAGCCTCGAGCCCACCAAGTAGCAAAAGGAGATGGGGAAGCAACTGCCCTGTGACTGCGTGAGGGGTTGTGGAGGAAGGGGGAAAGGATGATGTGGGTCAGTGCCAAACCACCCGGGGGGTCACTGCACCAGATGCTGGGGGACAGGATCGGGTGGGATGGAGTGATACTGGAGGGTTGGTGTGTGAGCATCCCCTGCCAGCTGCTGCCGGTCTCTCCTAGGGAACTTGAGGCTTGGTGGAATGGAGAAGAGAGTGGCCTGGCTGAACCCCAATCTGAAGCAGAAACTGCAGTTGTGCAAGGAGAAGCCATCATGCAGCCAGGTGCAAGGGGGCAAGTGCTTGAGGGTGCCCAAGCAGGTGCCCCTGTCTCCAGTGCTGTGCAACGTGCTGGACCACCTGAACACCCTGTGCCAGAGGCAGCGCCTGGGGACACCCCTGTTTCTCACCAAGTGCATCCAGGCAAACCCCAACGGGTGGCTGCGGTTCTGGTGCCGGGTGGTGATCCCAGGGTGCCCCGTGCCCTTCAGTGGGTTCACGTGGGTCCAGCAGGATGGGCCAGGCAGGAGCGGGCATGAGGAGGCGAAGGTTGCAGTGGCACTGCAGGTTCTCCGGATGCTAGGTGAGTCCTCGCACGGCGTTGGTGCCAAACCTCTGCCTTTCCCAACGTCTCGGAGCATCTCCTGGGAGTGTGGAGCTGTAGGTGCTTCTAGTGTATGGGGGGACCCAGCCCGGCAGGCAAGGCTGAAACACTGTCACCCCCCTGCCAGGTGTGACCTCGGTGGCTCTGAGCTCCGGGTGGGATTCTGGGTTGGAAGCAGAGGATGCAAAGGGAGGAGGGTTTGGGGGGCTGCTCCCTGCAGCACCACACAGAGCCTGACGCTTTCCTCTCTGCTGCAGGGTGCCAGCTGACATAGGCGGCCGTTCGGCCTGAACCAGGAGTTGAACCTGAGCTGCCAGCCTCGGTGCCCCTGGCCGCGGGGGCGGTGTGCGAGCCCCGCTGGGGACCTCGTCCCGTTCCAGCTCTGCTTTGAGTTTGAGTTTGTTCGGGTTTGTTTTGAGAGCCAGCTCTGGAGTATAGGGCTGCTGGCCTGGTCTGTGACAGCTGCCCTGTCCTAGCCGGGCCCTTGGGGACAGTTTTGTTTGGTGGTGGGGTGTAAGTTTACTTGCCCAGTTTGACTTCTTTTAAGTTGGTTTGTGTTGCCCTGCTGCAGTGGAGGGGCCCGGTGCAGGTCTTGGGAGAAGCAGCAGCTGTGTGGAGAGACTGCCGGCATCGGCTGGGGAGGTGGGGGTGACACTGGGAGCTGCCTGGGTCACTGGGGGACGGGCTGTCCTCCACTAGCATGCCTGGTTCCTGAGGAACAGCCTCAGGTGAGGACAAGGCCACACACAGGGACTGTTCCGGTGAATGGGGAACGTTCCGTGAGCTGATGGAGCTGCTTTTTAAGGAGGGGAGCGTCTGTGGGCTCCGGGAGGTGCAGGGTTGGTTGCGCTGCGAGGAAGCAGCCATAGGGTTACTGGCTGTCTATGAATGATTCCTCGGGACCAGGAGGTCCAGCCACGTTCTGTTCACTTGGTATTAAAATAGCCTGGAAAGCATGGGCTGCGTCATGTTGTCTTTTGCTCCCTCATTCTCAGCTCTCTGCCTGTCCAGTGCCACCTTGGTGCTCTCCCCCCACACCAGGAAGCCTGTCTTCTCCAGTGGCAGGATAAGGGACACGGTGAGACTTGAATCCATCCTGTAGCCTCCAGGCTCTGGACCCAGAGCCTGCTGAAAGCAGCGTTTGATCCTGTGGGAAGCAGCGGTTCCTGGCACCCAGAGCTTTGTGTTCAAACTTCACACTTTCTCACTGCCTTTTGGTATGCCCCAGGCTCCTCCACGTACCTCTTGATGAGCCCCTAGTGGCCTGAGTGCCTTCGGGTGCACCTCTGGGACATCGTAGCACCTTTATGCTCTTCTCTGGGGCTTCCAAGTGCCTTTCAGTGTGCCCAGCAGTCTAAAAGTGGCTTCTGATGAGCATTGCAGGCTTCCGAGTGCATTTCAGGACAGGGCTCTGCTACTCTCTTCTGGGCAAAGGACCCTGGTACCTTGCTGTTAGCCCCCAGGGGTCTTTCCATGCTCGTGATGGTCCTGAGCACCTTGTGACCTAGGGGGACTCCATGTGCCTTTCTATGCTGCCCGGGTGCCTTGCAGTGCAGCACCAGAAGACGCTGAAGCACCTTCAGGTGTCCTCCAACAGCCATTCTCTGTTCAACACTGATGAACCAGTGCCTTTTGTGGTGCCCCAAAATCCTCCCAGAGCTTTCAGGTGTGGCCTGTGGGCCTCTGAGCCCATTTGGTGCACCTCAAATGTCCCTGCACACCTATCTCTGCTTCTGCTCTACCAGTACCTTCTGATGTGCATCTGGACCCACTGAGTCCCTTGGGCAGCACCCAAGTACATATATCCTCATTCCTTTTGGAGACCCCCAGGGGGAATCCTCCAAGAGCCTTTTGGTGCACCCTCAGGTGGTATGAAGTGTCTTTTTGTACACCCTGGAGGTCTGCGTATCCTTTCTGATGTACACTAAAGACCCTCAGCATCCCTCTGCACCCGCAAGAGCCTTCCGGTGAATTTTCTTGCCTTCAGAGTGTTTCTCATTAAAGCACCTGCAGTGCAATGTGTCTTCTCTTGTGACACCCTGCTCTGGGACCTCCACAGGCCATTCTGTTCCCTTCAGATGTCTACCAGTAACATTTAAAGGCATGCCAAGGGTCTCAGGGGCTGTGCTGGCCCTGGGGATATGTTGCAGGCTTGGTGCGGCTCGGGACCACATGGGTGTCTGATTGCCCAGGAGCAGGGCTGGAAGAAGGGTCACCCCAGCTCCCAAAGCAGCCAAGTCTTTTTATTAGCACAGTCTGGAACGAGAGACACAAACCCAGCCTCGGTGAGCTCCCTGGAGAGAGGGAATCCCCCTCCCTGGGAAGTCCAGCCATCTGCATCCATAGTCAGCAGCACCCACCGCATACGGATGCACCACAGCTTCACAGCTATCTTAAGATGTAGCTACATAAACATCATTGCTTCATCTTCATGGGAGCAACCTGGATGTCCAGCTGGGTGATGGTGCTAGTGTTAGTGAAGGTGCAGTGCTGCCTGATCCTCTGGCTGCCGGGCTCCATCTATAGCACAAGCCACCACGAGCCTGGGGGCACCGGCATGGCCCAGTAGATTTGCTCATAGTCCAGCTCCTGGAAAAACACTCGAGGGGAGCTGCCAAGGGTGGGAACTGGGGCTCCGAGCAGCCCCGGTCTGCAGGGGCCAAGGGGCTTTGCCAATGGGAAATCCTGGTGGGCACCTGCATGGAGGTAGTTGTGGAGGTAGAGAGCGTGGAACAGATTAAAGCTGAAGGGTGAGGAACAAGCAGCCCCACAGGGGAAGGGAATGAGCAGAGCGAATGTCTGGAAGGACTGGCCCCAAGGGCATTGAGTCCTTCTGCTGCCATGGCCACGGCTGGAACATCTTACCTTGAAAGCGATGTGCAGATGGACCAGTGCAGGAGATGCTGGCATGGGTGTTGCCACAGGTTTTGCAGGGGTCTGGAGCAACACAGCCCAGGCTGAGCAAGGGCTCAGGAAGAGAGCATCCAGCAGATCTTCAGTGCCAACACCAAATCCAGCCTGTTCTTCCAGGTGCAGCAGGGATGGGCAATGGAAACCAGGCAAGAGGGAAACCAGCAGAGTGGCAGCAGCGTTCTGCTCCCAGGGACACAACTGCCAGGCCTGGGATGGCACCAGGGACCTCCTCTGAGCTTTGACACTGGGGAGTACCTGTGGCTTGTGGTCCTGGCCACCCCCGGTGTGCACCGGCCCTACCCCTCCGCTGAGGTGATGGTCTGTGCGATCTGCTCATTTGTCACCCCGAGGCCGTAAGTGCGGGTGGGTGCCCCTGTCCAGCCGGTGCTGACGGGGATGCTGGACGACTCCCCGGGCCAAGAGGGAAAGCTGAGCTGCACTGAGGCCCGGCCTGTAAATCCTCCTGCCCTGAGGTAGAGCTGCAGAGATCAGGCCCTTCATCACATATGTGACTGAAGAATGACTGCAGGCAGGTGAACGGTCCAGCTCCACTGTTCCTCCCCAACTCTGCCCAGTCAGTACCTTGTGTCTCCCCATGTCCAGTCAGAAGGTGAAGACCAGCAGCATGCTTTTCTTGGCTGTGATGGTGTTGAAGAGGCAGGCACCAGTGCAGGCAGTGGAGCAGTGTCACTGACACTCGTTGAGCCTCGGAGACAGACCAGGTTGAGGACATCTCTCTGGAAAAGCGTCTCCCCACAAACCTGTGCTGGCAGAGAGCACCATGTCCAGACAGTGCCAACTGGGGACACCACAAGTTCCCTTAGGGACACTGACACTGCAAGCCCCCCCCCCCCCTCCCTCCCTAGCACCCAGAGGCATGTGAGAGGCTGGAACAACCCCAAGGGTCTCCAGGGATGATAGTGGACAAAGCCTGTTGCCAGGTAGATCTGTCCCACCAGGCTAGATGGTGTCCCAGCCCGGATACTGGTGTGGACCCAGGGACCTTCCCTGTGCTTCCTGGGACAAAGCAGCAGGGACAGCCTGAGCACAGCATGTGGGCCCCAGATGGGACACTGACAGGGACGGAGGGTGCAGGACCCACCCACACTAACCTTGAGAAGGTGGTTGGTGATGTGCTGGTCCATGCTGATGGCACTGAACCCGGTCACTTCATCCAGGACGCTGGTGGAATTGGTGCTCCTGATCCTCTGAGCCACAAATGTGATGGCAGCCCGGGCAAGGGCACTGTGTGGGACCCTCAGTTGCATCTCATGTGCCAGCTGGGGGATGGGTGCACACCCCAGTGTGAAGGACCACGTGTTGGGTTTTGGGCACCCAGTACACGTAGGCGATGCTGATGGTTTCAATGGGCTTTTGCCCCTCAGGTGTCTCATTGCCACCAAGGAGGACAGTGATGTCTTCAGGTCAGAGGGACCTCAACAGGATGTAGGGGGGTCACGAGATGGCATGGGAACACTGCAGCTCTGCACTCCCCTTTCTCCTGGTCCATGCTGCCTGGTGGTCACCGGCAAGATACATATAGGCCACCTTCTGCCACCCCCTAACCCATGGTCTCCCGGGGTCCCTGCCTTGCACCAGGACAGGTTGGACTTGGTGTTGGCATTGAAGAGCCGCTGGATGCTCTCACTGCTCAGACCAGCACCGTGCTCTTCTCCACGTGGGTCAACCACCCAGCCCTTGCTGGATCAGGAAGGTCGATGCCACCCAGGGCTGGGCTGTGAGGGAAGGGGGGAGGGCAGGGTTTGGCCCCTGGCCACCAGCCACCCTGCCAAGCCAGGCATCCTTGGCCACTCGTAGCGGTGTGGAAGGACCCCGGCTCCCTCCTAATGCAAGTCATGACACCCAGGCACAGGGTGCTGTCCCCACCGCAACCACCCATCCCCACCCAGTGCCCTGCGGGCAGGTCCTGAATGTGACCAGGGGAGCCAGGCAAGTTGGGGTGAGCCAGACCATCAGCACAAGGCACTATGAACTGAAAGGCACTGGGTTTATTTGTAGTAGAGCTGATGTCTAAATTAATTAACAAAAGGCTAATTAACGCACCTGCTTGGACAGTGGTGCAGGCGCAGCGGGGGCCGGGCAGACCCCCAGGAAAGGGAGGGACCTGTTTGCCCAGGCCAGATCCCCCAAGACACCATGTAATCCCCCGCCCTGAGCAATGCCCTGCCTCAACCCCCACCCCCCCATCCCAGCACCCCCAAATACACCATCAAACCCCAGCCTCAGCCACACCCACACCACTTCCACTCCCCCTCCCAGGGCCGTATACCCCCCAGGGACCCCCAGCCATGCACCCCCATATCCCAGAGCCACCCCCCTCCTGGCCCACCCCCCCGGGATCCTCGGTCACGACCCCCCCAAACTCCTCCACCAGGGACCCTCAGCCATGTCCCCCCACCCCCGAACCCCCCACATACCAGAGACCCTCAGTCACGACCCCCTGCCCAGTCCCTCTCTCTCTAGGGACCCGAGCCAAGCCCTCCCCAACAAGGAACCCCCCCATACCAGGGCCCCCCCCCTGCTCCCGACCCCTCTCCTGTCAGAGACACAACCCCCTCCCACCGCCCCCACCGCCCCCCCCCAATCCCGGGGCCACCCCCGGGCTCCTCCCTCCTGGGCCACCGCCCCCCCCCCACCGCGGGCGCGAGGGACCCACCGCGCAGCGACCCCCTCTCAGGCCACCCTCCGCCCCGCCCCGCCCCTTTAAGAAGCCGCCTGCATCCCAGCCTGAGTGGCAGCCCTGGGAGCCAATCAGACCCCACCTCCCCCGCTACCGAGGCACCGCCCCCCCCCAGAGCCACACCCCCCCGGGCGCGGCCCCGCCCCTCAGTCGCTGCTGTCGCCGTCGCTGTCGCTCCCTGTCGCCGGCCCCGGCCCGGCCTCGTCCCGCAGATCGGCGAAGAAGTCCTCCCCGCTGCCCGCCGCCTTGCCGCTGAGGGCCCGCAGCGGGCCCCCCTTCTTCTTCTTCTTCCGGTAGTCGTCCACCACCAGCCCCGCCAGGGCCGAGACGTCCCAGAACTTCACCTTCTGGTCGTGGGCGCAGCTGGCCAGCAGCTGCCCGCCCGGGGCCAGCGCCAGCTGCTCGATGGGCTCCCCAACGTGCTGCCCCACGCAGCCCAGCACCCGGTTCGGCAGGACGTTCACCGCCCTGGGGACAGGGGACAGGGTGAAGACCTTGCCCCGATCCACCACCAGCCCTTGCCCTCCTCCTCCCTTGTTCCTAACCTGGTGTCACCCCGCACCCTTCCCACCCCACGCCCCCCTGACCTGATGACTCCGTCCAGGGACCCCACGCATACGATGCTGTCCGTGACGGGGACCATGCAGTCAACGGACTCAGCCCTCAGAGCAAAGCGGTCGCTGGCGGCCCCGAAGCCATCCCAGTTGAAGAGGTAGATGGTGCCTTCGCTGGAGCCACATGCCACCTTCCTCCCTCTCTAGGCAAAATGGAGGACAGTAAGGCAGAGGCAGAACAAGAAACTCCGGGTGTGGAGAGGGATCTGCAGGATCCTGCTCGCGGCAGGGCCCGCGGCCGACCTTCAGCAGCACGACAGACGTCAGGTCCCCGTTCTGTGGCTCTGAGAGCAGCTCAAAGCGCCGCCTCTTCACGTTGAAGACGCCGAGGGTGCCATCACCACTGCGGGAGACGGAAGGAGCGTTGTTGCGAGCACGGGACCACGGCGCAGGGCACACTTCCCCCCCGCCTTACGGGAAGGCTCCGCGTGGGCACGGGGGGAGCCCAAGCCCCCAGTACCTGGTGGTCAGCAGGATCTTCCCGTTACCGTCCACGGCCATCGCGCTGATGTACTCCTCCTGCTCACGGGCCTCCAAGATGGCATCCTCCTTGCGCAGGTCCCACACCTTCAGTGCCCCACCGTCGTCGCCCGTGGCAAAGACGTGGTTGTCGATGGGCAGCACGCAGTTAAGGGCCGAGCTGCAGCGACACCGACACCGTCACAGCTCACACCACGGGCTCCCGAGGCGACGCTCCGGCTGCTGCAGCAGCCGCTGCCCAGGGGGAGCTGCGGGTGCAGACCTACCCGTGGGCCTTGGGGAAGCGCGTTTCCAGCCGTCCCTCCTCCACCGTCAGGACGTGGATGGACTTGTCCTTGGACACGGTGAAAAGCTCTGGAGAGCCGTGTCAGCGCCCCCCGAGCCCCGGCATCCCCCCGCCACCACCTCCCACACCCCGCACTCACTCTGCCCGTCCTGGGAGAAGCCCACGTCCCGGCACGACTTGAGGTGATGCCCCGATGACCAGAGCTGCCGGTTCTCCCCCTCGGTGCAGGAGTACGAGTACCTGCCGGCACCGGGTCGGGCTCGCCAGGGCCCGCGGAGCCCCGACGGCCGGTGCCCGGAGGCTCCTACGCGCGGGACCCCTCCCCACGACCCCACTCACAAGTAGACGTCGCCGTCCACGTCCCCCGCCGCCAGCAGTGGCCGGGCGGGGTGCAGGGCGATGGCGTTGGCCGTCGCCTCGAAGCAGATGTCCTCGGGGGTCTCCCGCAGCCGCGGCTCCGAGCGCTCCTGGGGGAATTGCGGGGTCGTGGGGCCGGGAGCCGGCGGGGCCGGGGCCGCGCAGCCCCCCACGCGTGCTCACCTCCCCCGGCGCCGCCATGGCGGCTGCCCGCTGGGCGCAGGCGCCGGGCTCGTTTGCAGAGCACCGCCCCCTTCATTTGCGTGGGGCCGCCCTCCCGTCGCGCGTCACGCGTGTGTGGGGGGGGGCTACGGTTACAGCGGTGTTTCACGAACGCGTTGCGTCTCGCCGCGCGAGGGGTTCGATCCCGCGTGTACGTTGCTGGGACTCACGCCGGCCGCCCCATTTTAATTTATTTATTGATTTTTGTCTCCTGCTTCAAAAAATGTTCAGCAGCGGGAACCCCCCCGGGCTCCCTCATTTGCACCACCGCGGCCTCACCCCTCTGAGCCCAGCCCGCACAAACAGCTGTTCAGGAAAACTGAATAGTTTTATTACGGCTACACCATTTACACATCACAGGCTATACAGCAAACACTGGAGGGGAGAGCCTCAGCACAGTCCAAGGCTGGGGGGGGACATACAACCTGCCCCCACGCGGAAAGTGGACGGTGTGAGGACAAGAAGAGCACACCAGCAAGCTCCAGGAAGCATCCAGCAGGCCAGGGTTCCAGGAGCTGGAGGAGAAGATACTGGAGGCATCAGTACTTGGGACGCTTCACCTCAACCCTGGAAGAGACAGAGAGTCAGGACAGCAGTGAGGATACAGAGCTCCATCACCCTCCCCTCCAAGGTCCGCTGCTTCACCCCACAGAACAGTGGGAGGGACCCAAGAGCTCCTTAGAGCATCCAGGTGGACAGGACAGAACTGTTTGGTCAAGGTAGAGCCACAACACGGTCCCGGGGTCTGCTCAGCACCTGCCCACGGCCCAGGGGAGAGTTGCCCTGCAGGCTCTGCTGAGCTCAGCAGGGCAGGAGCACCCTGAGGGCACCAAATGTCCTTTGTTCTCCTTCCCGATCCATGTCAGGGAGGTCTTTGCCCACTGCAGCCCCTGGGTGAGGTGGCAGGAGACAGCCAGGCGCCAGCACTGCCCTGTGGCTGACCCAAGAGCAGAGACAACTGTACTAACCCATCAGCCTCCAACTTCTTCCTCTTCTCGATGATCTGCAGAAAAAACACAAAGTTCCGTTACCCTCAGGGTAGCTGGCTGCCCACAACTGCAGCAGAGGGGTGGTCGGGTGCAAGATACACCTGGGGAGAGCTGCAGCCAGGCCAGAGCATGCTGAAGTAAGATAAAGTTGTCCACCAGCTGCCTGATCTCTGGAGGAGCTTGGCCTTTTCCCCCTCTGCTTCATTTTGGCCAAAGACCATTTGTTCTCACCTTCCTCTATCCCATCCCGTACCCCTGGAGCGCTCACGCCAGCTCACCTTCCCAGGACAATCCCCCAGTTCTGCTGGTTAAACAGGGAGCTGCTAAGGTGCCTCGTCCCCTCCAAGCCCCTCTGAATGGCTCCAAGCTGCCAGTTTTGGACACATTCATCTGCTGCAGAGCCTGGAGCAAAAAGCCCCCATTTGGGACTGCTCCCAGGGCAACAGTTCCAAATGCAACTCCAGATGCCTCTGCAGTCCCAAAGTCCAAAATATCTGGCTGATGCGAGGAGCAAATCCAGCTTCTAGAAGCCAACCCTGCTGCATGTGCACACAGGCTGTGCCTGGCTGCCAGGGCATGGGTCGGACCAAAGAGCCATGACTAGGACAGCGAGGGCAGGACTAGGTGGGAACTCTACTGGGCTACGCTGGCAGCTCGCAGCCTAAACATGATACCCCAGCACTGAGCACTCACTGCACTGATCTTCTTCCACTGCCGGTCCAGCTCTGCCTTGTCATTTGTCTCCTTGAAGCGTCGGGTTTTGCGTCCCTCAGACATCTTGATCCCATACTGGAAGGCTGCCCTGGGGAAGGAGCAAGACAAGAGCTCAGCGCTCGCAGGGGATCCAGTGTGTTGGGTGAACAGACACATCTGCCCCAGCCATGAGCCTGTACTCCCGAGCTGGCTTGGGCCTCTGAAAGCAGCAGCTCGGCAGGAGACCTCAACAGTGATACTAGGAGCAAAGACAAACCACCAGGCCCAGGATCCACAGCTCCTCCTTGGGTCCTTCACCCAGGAACACCCTTCTTGCTTTAAGCCCCCACTGGACCCAGGTTTGGCCAGCATGGCCACCCCTACTCAGAATCCTTGCTCAGCCCTGCACAACAGCTACACTCACTTGGGCAGAGCCTCTTTGTTGTTCATGTATTCGCTGTACTCCTCCTGGGTGTCAAAGTCCCAGCGGCCCAGAGGTCCTTTCTTGTTACCCTGCAGTGAAAAAAAACTCCTGAGAGCAGCTCCACAGTTGACGCTGACCACGGCTCCGCACGCAGCCCCGCATGCCCAGGCAGGATCTCAGCCTCATCAGCCCCAGTTCAATGGGCTTCTACACTCAATCTGGCCTTGGCTCTGAGATCCCCTCCCCAGGAAGCCCCAAACAAGGAGATTCTGTGGAAGAGGAAGTTGAGACAGACTAGCACACCTCCCCAGCACCTCTTGGTTGAAGTGCCAGGGAGTCGCTTGTTTGCGACCTGGGACAATAGATCCTGCCCAGACCCAGGCACACAGCAGATCAGCAAATGCCAAAACATCTTCAACACCCAGCTCCAGGGCGTTCAACCCCTCTGCACAAGCTTACTCCTATCCAGTGGGATCCTCTCAGCCTACACTGACTGACCCCTAGTTTGTTGGCTGATCCTAAAAGCTGGTGACGACATACCTGATCCATTTTGCTGTAGTCCACCTCTTCATCGCTGTCCACAGCCATATCATCCATTCTGTAAAGAAGAACAAGCAAAGGGTTTGGAGCGGGTCCACGGGACAAGGCTCAGGACCTCAGAGCCAGGCTGGTAGAAGCCATCTCTCATGGTCTCAGACCAAACACACGCAGTTCCTATACCAGAGAAAAGTTCCTCCAAGTCCAAGCCCTGCAGGTGAGCTTTACCAGAAGGGCATCCAAGCCCATAAATGCTCCTAAGATGACTCTACAGGCTGAAAGCTGTTCCTCTTCTACTGAGGGACTGCTCTGCAGCCAGAGCTCAACGAGCACATGAACTACTGGGGAACCCAGCAGACTCCCAGCCACCTCAGCCTCTCCCTGGCACTGAGGGGCAGCAGACTCTGGTAGACATATATAGCAGAGACCAGCTAAAAAATAGGCCGGGTCTGTCAGAACAAAGGACTCGGGGAGCATTTTAATAGTAGGTTGCAACCCCAGACAAAGCCGGGCCCGCTCCTCCCAACAAGTAACGGGGCTGATGTTCAAGTTCTTGCTGCCAGAGAACAGCAGCCCCTCGGCACACCCTGCTCCCAACACAGCTCTTTGCTGCTTCCTTACGTAGCAGGGTAGCACTCGGCGTAGCTGTTTGACATGCCGAAGAAGTCCCCCAGCTGCTTCTTGTCTTCCGGCTTCTTCAATGTGACAACCGTCAAGGAAAGCACCACCATGTAGCCTTACAGCTAAGGGCTGAGCATAGCCAGCCAAAGAGCCATCTCCTGCCCTAACACATCTGAACTGGAGGCTGAAGAGCTTATATATGGTGTATGAGCAGCAGAGAAATGCCACCTAAACCTTGCTACAGGAGGAAGAGCTCTCCCCCGAGTGAGGAAGGAGAGCCACACAGACATGCCTGGGGGGCAAGGTCTGACTGCAAAGAAAGCCCGGCTCCACAGTGAGCCAGGCTGGCACAGCCAGTAAAGGATATGACTCTGTTCCTTCCCAGCCAGCAGCTCCAGCAAACTTCTCATTGATGGACTTGATGAGCTCCTTGGCTGAGCCAGGACCTGGGGTAAAGAGAGCAGCAGGCTGAGTTTTGTGGGAGGAACAGCTCATTACAATGCACATGGTGCCAGGCAGAGCCCTCTTCTGCCCAACCAATTAATTGGGACAGGGTAACAGGCAAAAGAACAGGCTGCATATGAGGTAGGAGAAGCCAGGAAAACACCAAGGAGCAGCAAACCAGTCTGAGAACAGACAGGGTCAGGCTGATCCTAGGAGACCCTGAATCCTCCTAAGTTTATAGCCAGTATAAGGTTGTTTGAGCTGGTCTGCTGCCAGGGAAGGATCTGTAGACACATTCAACCCAGGCTGGCATGCAGCAGCCTGCAGGCACAAGAGTCTTCACCCAAAACCCTCATGGCAGGCAATTCTCTCCGTCTTAGCAGTCTCTGGGAGAACAGGGAGCTCAGGCAGGCCAGCAAGCCAAGCAGTTCTGAAATCTGCAACCCCATACAGCTCCGCTCAAACAGCCAGCCTCATTCAAATGTCCACACCACTTGGCTCACCTTTGTCGATGTCTGTGGGCTGCAAAGAAGAGGGAGAGATACCATGTCACCTGGGAAGGCTGAAAGCAGGCAAGTGACGGTGCTGCATGACTTGCAGCTCACTTTAAGACTCTTTGTGCCAAGCACACAGAGCTGAACCAGAGCTACTGGCTCATGCTAGTCCTGCATTACTTGCTGAAGAAGGGGACAAGCACACACAGTCACTCAGCAGCCCCTGGCTGGAGGGACACAGCTCAGCAAGAGCTGAACACTGGCACATGTGGGAGCATGACCAGAGACACCCAAAGCCACCAGGGTGACCCCACTAACTCCGCAACCGCACTCCCCAAAGAGCAGAGATCAGGTGGGACTGTCCAGACTTCACAAGCAGAAGCTCACCTCATCATCAGCCTTGGGCTTCTCAAAGTAGCTGTGCCTCTTCTTTTCCTCCTCCCGCTCCCGGTCCCGGTCCCGCTCCCGCTCTCGGTCCCGCTCCCGGTCCCTGTCACGCTCCCGGTCCCTGTCACGCTCCCTCTCACGGTACCTCTCCCGCTCCTTCTCCCGTGGCATCTTCGCAGTGGAGGGCACATAATCTCCAATGTCTTCAAAGATGCTAAAAGTGAAAAAGAGCCTGAAGTTACAGATGCTTCAAGAGAAGAGGCCACAACCACCTCCCTTTGAATTGGAACCTAATAAAGGAGCATGTAGCACCACGCCGAGCGCTAAGGATGCCTGCTAGAACTGGCTTCTACATCTGTCAGAGGCATCGCTGAACTTCTGCTGCCTGGGCCTGCTTCTTGTGGCCCAGGACAAGAGAGAGACCTTGCCTGCCTCAAGCCTGGAATCAAAACCAGACCTTGCATCCAGCCTTATCCTACAAGCTGCAGGTCCAAACAGGCAGCTAACTCCAGAAGCGCTAAAACCCAACCCCCTCCAAACATGGTGGGCCAAAAAGACATTCCTTAAGGCAGAGAGCTGTGACCCCACAGCCTGTGGGCAGGGAGGCACTTACTTCATATCAGCTTCAGGGGGCTTCTTCTCATCCAGCTTCCCTGCAGGAACACAACCACAGTGAGAGGCACATTGCCCACGCCGCCACCTGCGCTGTTTCCCTGTCCCCAGTCATGTTGCCAAGCCTGGAGGATGTCCTGACTTCCTCTTTGGTTACCACATCACATCTAGCCCCCTCAGGAAGTCGTTTTGTCCCTCCCCAACAGGGGACATTTCCCCAAGGAACTAGACCTTAACCAGGAAGAGGAGCAGCACAAGGCACCCTGGCAGCTATAATTCCTCAGCAGCCAGCTATAGGAGGTCACTGTCCTCTAAATCCACTGCCTCACGGCACAGGGGAATGCAGCAAACCAATACACATCTCATTCTCTTGGGATATGCTTCAAACATTAAGTCCTAATACCTGGTTCCCTTCAGCTCCTACCTTTGTCTTTCTTCTTAAGCTTCTTGTTGCGGGTCCCTTGCCTGAGGTAGGAGAGGATCTGCGTCAGTTTGCTGATGACAATGTCATTGGTGGTCAGCGTGGTCTGTGCCTGAAAGAGAAATCCCCGAGGAAGCATCCGACTCCCTTGACAGGGAACCCCTCCTGGCAAGACCTGCTCTGGCCAGGAGCAATGCAGTCAAGCAACCCAGACGCCAGCTGCGTACCTCCATGGTGGGGCAGTCGGCCTTGCTCCGGATCAGCGTGGTCGGGATATCGGTGTCGGCATACTCGTCGTCCAGATCTACCACATAGGCCATCCTCCCCGGCAGGAACAGCTCATTCCGCTCGTAGGCCTTGTTCTTGAACAGAATGCGGTAGATGTTGCGACCTGGAAGGGAAGAAAACATGTGGGAGAGCTGCTCTCACGGGAGCAAGGGACAAGCCCATAGTGAAGTACATTCAGTCTATCAGAAACATCAGAATCATCTCCTGAGAGACACACTTCCTTCAGCCCTCAAATTCAGGATGCCTACACCTCAGACTCTCCCCCTCCAATGACTAAAGGTTTTAATTCCTCCATTCAGCCTCCAGGGTTTCTCCCACATTCATGGCACAGCACAAGGTGGGGAGCAGCCACATCTACACAGTCTTACCCAGTCGGGTCTTAAATTCAATTTTGTTCTCAGGATCCTCATCTTTCCTGAACAGAAACAAAAAAAAAGTAAGTATTTTGCTAAGCATATGTCTCCTCTGCATTCTCCTTTCTGGAAGGGAGCTGCACTCAGGAGCGCAAAATCCTCAACTACTCACTTAGTTTCTTTCTGGGGCTTCTCCATCATTTCCTCCTCCTCCTTCTCCTTGCTGGCAATCTCAGCACGTACCTGCACACAGAGTAAATCTGTGCATTACAGACCAATCCATGACACTGATGCCCATCACAATCAGCAAGCCCACTTCCACCAGCTCCCCAACCCTTCATAAATCTCTCCAAGAAAAAGAAATCCACGCTGAAAAGATTGAAGCGCTCGTAAGTAGCAACTAGCACTCTCTTCCCACCCTCTCTGCCTGCCTGCGGGAGCGGATGGGGTAGAAGAGCAGCACGGTGCTATCTGTGCTCACCTTCTGCAACAGCGCAAAGTCCAGACCTTTTACCAAGTGAGTGTGCTCCATGTCACCACCCAAGAACTTGGACTCCTGGATCAACTGTCTCCTCTTCTCTGCAGCGGATTTATCCCTGTGCAACAAAAATGGAGCCGGTTACGAGACAGCCCCTCTGGAGCAGACTGGCAAGACAAGGCCATGCCACAGACCCACGTACGCCTCTGCAGTTGGCCCCACAGCCCTGTAGTTGGCAGTTGTGCTGATCAGTTCTGTTTCCTCGTAGTCCTTGTTCACACCATCTCTCCTCTCCTTGGCTCGATCCCTGTACTTCTCAGCCAGCTCCCTCTCACGCTCTATCTCCTGCTGACGCAGCTTTGCATAATAGCTAGGGTTGGAAAAACAGCTCAGTGTTAGTGACACAAGCGCACTGTTGATGCACCCATCAGGTAACAGCTCCCAAGGCCCCACACGTGCTTGTTCTGCTCCCAATTCCTTCCTCACAAATGTACTAAAGCACCACGGGACACAACATGCCTGGAGGACACCAGAGAAGATGAAACTGCTGTACTGAGGATGAAGAGAAGCTCAGTCTTCCCTTCCAAATGGAAGGGGTCAACTGCAGTCCTGCTGTGCAGATGTGCCCCGAAAAGACACACTCACCAGTGCAGACGTCCCACCACTGCCTTGCTCTGCCAGGCATCCACAGAGCTTTTCCTGCTTCTTCCAGAGATGAAGCTTCACGTTCATCCTGCTGCCACCCTACCACATCTGTTCCCACAAGCAGTGACAGTCACACACTCTGAACTCTCCTCACTCCGCTTAGCTCCAAAGCCCCAAAATAATCCAGACCACTCAAGGTCCTCTTTACTAGCCCAAGAGCTCAGAAGCTGCTTCCATGTGAGGGATGAGATGTATGAAGACAAGTCCCAGTGCATCGCTTTCCCCTTTTACCTTTTCTTCTTTCTCCTGCGAGCAGCTGGGTCTTCATCTTCGTTGTACTCCCGGGGCATCCTGGAAAAGGGTGAGAAATCACATGTACAGTCTGCAGAGCCACACAAACACAGGCAGCTAGACAGAACAGTCCCTCAGACACAGCAGAGCACCATGACGATCAAAGATGGGAACAGTACAGTCCCATTTCTCCCTAATTCCACTCTGTCAGCAGGGTGAAGGGGGGAAAGCACTGATCTTCACAGAAGAAAAATTAAATTTGCCTCCTGCCCAATGTTTAACAGTCACGCAAGACTTGCTCTGTTATTTACAGCAGTCCTGACCCACCTCTTTCTCCACTTAACACACACGTTCAACCTGCATGGACCAAGCACAAAGGAAGGCTGAGTTCTGCTCCTTGGGCCCTGTCTGCACACAGTTGTGGTTTAACCCAAGCCAGCACCTAAGCAGCACGCAGCCGCTTGCTCACTCCTTCCTGCTCCCAGTGGGATGGGGAGAAGAATCGAGAAAGTGTAAAACTCATGGGCTGAGATAAGAACAGTTTATTAACTAAACTGAACTAAAATATAGTAGTAGTAATAATAATTTTAAAACTATAATTATTATAATGAGAAGTAATATAACAAAAAGAGAGAGAAATAAGACCCAAGAGAAGACGAGGGATGCACAATAAAATTCCTCACAACCTGCTGACTGGTGCCTGAGCAGCCATCTACCCCTCCCAGGCAACTCCCCCCAGTTTATATACTGAACACGACATTCTATGGTATAGAATATCCCTTTGGCTAGTTTGGGTCAGCGGACCCTGACCAGGCTCCCTCCCAGCTTCCTGTGCACCTGCTTGCTGTCAGCATGGGAAACTGAAAAATCCTTGACTTAAGATAAGCCCTACTTAGCAACAACTAAAACATCTGTGTGTTACAATAATGTTGGTAACACTAAATCCAAAACACAGCACTGTACCAGCTGCTAGAAAGAAAATTAACTCTATCCCAGCTAAAACCAAGGCACACATTCATTAGCAAAAGCCCCTTTAGATACTCCACTGCAAAGTGCAGGGGGAGAGAGTCAGGCAGGAACGGAGCCTCAGAGGGAAAGCGGACATGCTTTGTCCCCCCGTCCTATGAAATTGAGCCCTACTCACTCATGGTGGCGAGATTTGGATGGTGGCGCAGATGTTGGCGCAGCCCGTGGGGTCATGAGAAGCTTTCTGAAGTCTTCATTGGTCAGCTTGGACCTGCAAGGAAGAGAGGAAACAGACACTGTCATCCCCCCAATGAGCTTTGGCAACCTGCTGACTTCTGAGGAGGCAGAGGGTTTGCCAGCACGTCCTGGGAGATGGAGTCAGACATGGGACCCCTCTGGAGGGAGCCCAAAGGCTGCGTTGCACCAGTCACTCAGTACTCCAGTGTCACACTCACTGGTGGAAGGAGTGCGAGTCGTCCACGTCGTGGCCATCAGGGGCCAGGGGGTTGGAGAACGGTTCATCTGGTGGACAGGAGAGAAAAGAGCACTCAGTCTGCCTGCGTGGCTTCAACCCTCCTCCAACCCTCAGCACAATCCTCCCAGCCCCATCCCTGCTCAGGGGCAGGGGAGGGAGCAGCGGTCACCCACCACTCCGCAACTCTGCCCAGCCCAGGCTGCTGACACCCCGGGGTGCGTGACAGGGTCCCGCCGTCACTGTCCACCGTGACGCCTTGCTGTGCCCCCAACCCCACCGCCCTCTCGGTGTCTGTTCCAGTGCCTCCCCTGGGGGTGTGCTGTCCCCCCACCTCCCGGGGCTGTCCTTGCATCCCCTCCGCCCCCAGAGACGCTCTGCTGCCGCACTCCCAGAGCGTGTCCCAGTGTCAATCCCCCGCGTTGAGCTTTACCTCCAAACACACCCCCTCTTTGTCCCTACGTCCCCCCCGAGCACTCCCTCACCCCCTGCGCTGCCCCCCCCCCCAGCCCGGGAGGTCCCCTCCCTCCTAAGGCTGTCACCAAACCCCTCTCCCCCTGGAGGGCTGTTCCTCTCAGCAGGCTGGGGCTGTGCCCGCGTCCCCCGTGGGGGCACTTCTTCCCTTCCCCCGTGGGGGGCACTTCTTCCCTTCCCCCGTGGGGGGCACTTCCCCACCCCCGCCGCAGCCCAGTGCCGGCCTACACTGCCCAGGGCCGCTCCCCCGCCACCCCGACCGTCGCGGTATCCCGCACCCAAGGGTCGGACGCCCCGGGGTGTCCCGAATCGCTCCCCCTCCGCGGCGTCCCCCGTCCCCCACCCCACTCACTGTCGCGCTCCGGCATCGCGCCCCACTCCGCGGCCCCACGGAACAAACTGCACACCGCTCCGCCGCTCCCCTTCCCAGCAACCCCTGCGGCCAGCCGGCCCGCCCCCCCCCCCCGCCGCATTGGCCGGCCGCTGGCCGGCGGGCGCTGCGATTGGTGGGCGCCGCAGCCACTCCCCCATGTTGTTGTCAGGAGCAGGGAGAAGATGGCGGCGGCTGTGAGGGGGATTGGGGGCGGGTTGGGTCGCAACCTGCGGGAGCTCCGCATCCATCTGTGCCAGCGCTCTGCGGGCAGCCGCGGCGCCAGGTGAGCCGGGGCCGGGCCGGGGAGGGGACGAGGCACCGGCCTGCCCGGTGTGAGCGGGCTCAGCCACGGCGACCTGCCGTTCCTCCTTCCCTCCCCAGAGACTTCATCGAGCAGCACTACGTGACCCTGAAGAAAGCAAATCCCGACTTCCCCATCCTGATCCGCGAGTGCTCCGGTGTCCAGCCCAAGCTCTGGGCTCGGTACGGTAAGTGGGGGGCGCCCGCCGGGAAGCACCACCTGGGGACGGCTAGAAATGAGGGCCAGAGCCCAGCGGTCTGCGTCAAATGGCCGGTTCGGCCACTACAGTAAGGGCCGTCGATGGCGAGGGAGCAGCTGTCTGCAAGGCGAGGTGGGGATTGGCTTCAGGGAAGTGCATTACTGCTGCATGACTTGGTGGGAGGCAAAAAAAGGGACCTGTGACTCAAAAAGTGGTTTGCCAGCTTGTGGCTTTGATGTCCCACTCCTGCAAGATTCATATGCAGAAAAATGTTTCTGGTTTTCCTTTGTTTTCACTGCGTTCGCTCTTGCACTGCTTCCTATGGGCTGGACAAATATAATTTAGAAACTTTCTTTCAAAGATATGCAATGACTCTTTAAGCAGGAGTTTCCCAGTGTGAGCACACAGGCCAGTAGAGCCTGTGGGTATAGTGCCAATCTCATCAGTATGTGACTTGCAGGGAAATACACCTCCAGATAGGGGCTGCTGTAGGAACAGCAAGTTTTTCAGGGCTGTTTTACTGATGCATTAGTGAGCATCTTGATCTGAGCAGGAGAAAACCCACCAAGTTGCTTTGGGATGTGGTGGTGGATGCTGCTGAGCTGCCGCACAGCAAAAGTTAACAAAAAGGCAAGGAAGGGTGTTAGGCTGCATTGGCTTCTCTCCAAGAGAAAGGCTGAGAATAAAGAGAAGAGAGGTGCACTGGGGAGTGGTGGGTGTGAAGGAAAAGGGGTGGTGATGGGAGCCTGGGCTGTGATACCAGTGGTGCTTGGGAAACCTAAAGCAGAGTTGTGGGTTGGCCTTGCACCAGAAGTAGACCGAGGCACCTGCCCCCTCTCCCACCCTCTGTCTTTCCTGCAGAGTTTGGCAAGGAGAAAAGTGTACCACTGAACAACCTTACTGTGGATGAAGTTGCCAAAGCCTTGGAGAACCTTGTGAAAAGCAAGGTGTGAAGATGGACAGTAAATGCGTGCATGCTGACGACTTGACGGGTGATCTTTAATGTAAAATGTGTATCTTTCACTTATCAGTTGCATAAACACAATGTGCTTACCCTGAGCTTCACATGTTGGGTTCAAAGCCAGGAGATGCTGGCGGGAATGGCTGATCCAGCAGGGTTTATACACCACCTCCCCGGCACCAAGAACCCATCTGCCTGGGTTGCAGCTCAGCTCTGCTGCTGCATCAAGCTCTGGGGAGGCACGGGGCAGCCGGCTGGTAGCTACAAGGATGGAAACAGCCATATCTTGGCAAGGACCAGTGTCCTCGTGCAGCCAGCACTGATGCTTACAGCTGGCAGTTAGACCTCTAACCAGCCCTTGGGAAAGCAGGGCACAGGTTGAACAAACTGTTTATACCTCCTTGAAGTGCAGGGGGAGGGAAGGGAAGTGGTGTGGCCTAGGAGAAGGCTGACGAGGTGGCATGGCAGGGACTGGAGGCTCCCAGGGGCTGCCCGACCATGTCCAGCAGCGCTCGTGCCCGCTCCTGGAGTTCTGGGGTGTTCTGGTGCTGCTCGAGGGCGCAGTGCCCACCTTGCCTGACGAAGTCAGCAGCAGCCTGTGCGGGAGGAGAGGGGTGAGAGCTGACTGGCTGCCACCCGAGTAGCTGCTACTGCTATCCTGTCTGCCCAGAGCCACCACGTACAGCCCAGGGAACAGGGCTGAAGAAATTCCCTAGAGCCCCACCAGACACCGAAGCCCCAAGTCAGGTAAATCCAGCCATGCTACTTGCTGACCAGAAGTGCACAGAGCTTCAGGCAAGCACAGCTGCATCAAAAGAATCCCTCCATAATAACCTCAGAGGGTACAAACAACCTGCCCAAAAAACAGTCAATGAAAAGGAACTCCCCAGAAAGCCAACAAGGGCTCCCACCCTCTGCATCATACACGTTCACCCCCCTTCAGGCACTTGTCTGGGTGCTGAGGAGTGGAGGGGCTACCGTGGCAATGACTGAGGGCGGTATTATTTAAATAATAATCCCCACCCCCAGCTCTTACCTCTGGCCAGTGCAGGAAGAGGAGGTGCAGCAGCTCGAGGCACTGCCCCACCACTTCGGGATCGGGCAGCGCGAGGGTGGGCAGCAGCAGGGGCAGGACACCCTGCTGGTGCAGCTGCTGGCAGTAGGCTGGCCCCTTCTCTGCTATATTGCACAGAACTGTCAGGACCTGGACGGAGAAGCCATGAGAGGGAGTGAGCAGTGAGGGCTTTGTTAGTGGGCAGATCCTGACAGGCTTAGGAGAGCTCCGAAGAACTCCCCGTGTCCTCCCTGGAGGTCCTGCCAGGGGCTTCCCCAAAGCCAACCACCTGGATTTTCAGTGCTCCTTAGAAGCCTTCTCCATCCCCACCCCAAGGCACTGTTTGTCCCTGTGCCAAGCAGACGCAGCTGTACCACCCACTCCTCGGCAGAGCATACCCCCAGGACCCCCTAAAGTTTTAGGGTCTTCCAAAAGAAGGTGGTAGTAGCATCTCTGGGCCTGCTCCAGGTGCTGGCAGGCCTGGCCCCAAGTTAATATCTGCCTTGGGACTCTGTTAAGGGTAAACACAGGTGCAGTGACTTCAGGGGAGGCAGAGGGTGACTCTACCACAACATGAGACCTTGCGCCAAGCTGTTGCTACCACCCCAAGCCAACCTCAACTTCAGCACCGTGTGTGTGGGATTCATTAAAGTCCAGTGCTTCCCCGCCTCCCAGACCCGGGGCATGAGGCAAGGTCTTACCAACACACTGGCCGTCTGGGAACACGGCAGAAGCTGCAGCAGGGCTGGGAGCAAGTCCAGGGAGAGCAGAGCGGAGCAGAAGAAGGGCTCATCCGCTGTGGCGGGCAGAGAAGGAACGTGTCAATAAAATCGATGTTTCTGAGGGAGCTCTCTGTAGAAAAGACTCCACGAGTCTTCCAGCAGTCAAGGCAGGTCCCGACAGGAGCTTTGGCTCTGCTGACAGCCCCGCAGGAGACCCACCCGTGAGGTTGTTCAGCAGCCAGAGACACTCCTGTACGATGAACGGGTGCTGCTGGAGGAAGCACTGCAGGATGAGGAAGAGGGCGATGAGCAGGCGCTCGTCCTGGATCTGGGCTTCGCCGCCCGTCTCCTCCGCGAGCAGGTTGCTGAGACACCGCAGCACTGGGCAGACGAGCTGTGAAGGGAGCACAGAGTTGTTCAGCCAGACCACGTCCCCACAGTAATGCCAAGAATGGGCAGCACCCTGCCCGTGTCTTACCAGCTCCAGGCCCTCAGGAGCATCTTGGGGGATTTCAGAAGCCAGGTCGAGCAAGAGCGAGGTGAGGGCTGGCAATGCCCCCAGTGACAGCAATGCCACGTTGGCCGTATGGCTGCAAAGGGAAGGGACAGTGTGGTTGCTCTTGGCACTCGGAGAGGGAAAACTGCTGCAGCCCTCAGCAAACAACAGGGTCTGGAAATTCGGAGCGCCTTCCTGAACCACCCTAGGGCTTCTTTCATGTTTGAATAGCAGCTTGTTTCTGAGCTTATGAGAAAGTTTAAAAGCCCATGGAAAACAGATCCACTGGAATAATCTGTGTGGGTCTGGAAACAACAGCCCCAATCCTTCTTTGAGTACCCACACATTCCTTTCTGCTGGGGCTGCTGAAAGAGATGGCACCAAAGCAGCCACGCCAAGACAGGCAGAGATTGTTGGCAGCAGCCAGCCCGGCCAGGTGACACTGGGCCAATCCCAGAAGTGTGAGGATTCAGGGAGCTTGCCTTGGGGAGTGTGGAGGACAACTCCAGACACGGGGAGGCAATTGGAGGGGTTTCAGAGAACTGGGAACAGCCTCCTCAGGTTTATCATCTGTTATCACCCTCTAAAGGAACTTAGCGATCCTGCAAACAGTACGTGTGTGCTCAGATACGAGAGCGGGAGTGTCCAGGGTGGCAAGAAAATTGCTTTCCCAAGGGAAAAGGGCAAGGGGAGGCAATTCAGGTCCCTCACAGGCTCCTGATTCTCTGTGCTTCTCTGTTTGGCTGCTTCCAGGGAACTCAGAATGAGGAGAAAAGTGCATTTACCTACAAATGATGTAGTGGAGACACCATGCAAATTCCACAGCTGCTCCTATCCCAGCCTTGAGGCCAGAGCAAACCAGTCGAATCATGTGCTGGGGGAGAACAGAGTCCAGAACCAAGCTGGGGTCAGAACGACAGAGTTAATGGAGGCACAGGCCAGAGCACAAGCAGGACAGACAACTGACAGGGAGACACAGCCCTGGCCACTGAGCAGGGAGTTGCTCTCCCTCCATCCTGGCAGCCACATGCTCAAAAAAACCACCTGGAAGAGACTCTTACTTAAGGGCTGAAGCCTCAGGCACTACTAAGGCCCATCATAAGCTTTCCCTGTTCATGGCAGGGCCTGGGGGCATTCAGGGCATCGTGGCTGGGGTCACATTTTTGGTACTGAGGGCTGTCAAGCTGAGCCTTTCCTTCACAGGAGGAATACTGCCAGAATTTCCCTGCGAGCCTACCCTGCTCAACACTGTCCTTTACCGAAATACCAGAGATGTCTGCTCTGAGGGAAAAAAGTCAAGTCCCGCACCCTGATCTCCAACAAAACCTCCACAGTTCTGGTAGGATTCCGCTCTGAACTATTAATATCGCTGGGATGGGAAAGGTGGTGTTGTCCCTGGCATGCAGTGCCATGCTGGGCCCCAGGGCCCATCCTGATGCAGGGTTAAGAGGCTTGGACTCACGGTATGATCTTGGCAGGGGCTTCCTTGGCTTGCAGGAGCTGTGAGAGGATGTAGCCCACACCTTCCAGCACAGCATCGTGCGGGGACTGCAATCAAACAGAACAAAGCTAATCCCCCATGACAGAGCCGGGGGATCCCGGGGAGCCAGCTGCTGTGCTGGTGAGAGGGTGATACCTCTTTGTAACACCAAATGGCTGAGTGGCACAGTCCCTCCACGCCTGGGGAGCAGGGGACTGGAATGATACAGCAATCTGTGGCCACACCAAAGCTGAGCTGTCCCCTCTCCCTGCGCTCATACGAGCTGCAGCTGTAGGGATCCAGGAGCCCAAACACAGCAGCAGCGCTGCTTTGAGCATTCAGATCTGCAAATTACGGCCCCGTTCACTGTGCTGGCCTCGTATGCCTGCTGGACCCAAGCCATGCAGAGGGGAGAAGCCTGCAGCTCCCCGTGTTACAGATTGTTTATTAGCAAGCCACAGTTATGGATGTGAGAGATTCAGCCGAGGAAGAGCACAAGGTGGTGAACTGAGCCCCAAAAATGGAGTGCAGGAGAGCCCACAAGAGACCCTCGCCCACAAGGGAACAGCCCTCTGCAGAGGGGTCTCTGCCTGTGCCCACAGCTGGAAGGAGGGCTGGTAACTCAGTTCTGTCAGCCAGCATCTAAAGGGCATAAGAAAAGCCTCTGCCTGGGGCAGGGCAGGGGAAGTGTGGCTGAGCTATTTCACCCACCTGGATGCAAGATGCCAGCACTGGAATGATGCCCTGAGGCAGAAGGTGCTTCCTCACAGCTTCACTTTCCACCACCAGGTTCCCCAGCGTGTACAAACACAGCTCCTGAAACATGCCCAGGAGAGCAGGTCACCTCCTCCACACCACCAGCGGGACCCAGGCCATCCTGGGCAGCCAGCAAGGCCTCTAGGTGCTTGCACTCTGGGACTAGGGCACACCCTTCTCCTGAGCAGGGCAGAAGCTGTCTTCAGATGGGTAAACATAGATGGATACTGCTGGACTCTCCAGCCACCCCATTCCCAGCTGCATCAGCTTCAATTTACCCTTTTTCTATCTGGCTCAAGTTGAGATCTACTCTGGAGGTTTTTCAGGGTTCTAATTATTGCGGTGACATTCCCCTGAGAGCCCTCTAATTCCACCGTGTTGTCCTGGAGACTGCCCGTGTGCTGCCTCAAAATGTGATCATCACCTTGGGGTTGCTCTCCATCTTACTCCTTAGCTCTGATCCTGTCTGCTTCTCAAAGGAGCACAGCGTGCTGCACAAGGCACACTGCGCAAACCGCACAGGCATCCCAGAGCTCCTCCAACTGTTTACTCCTTCGTCCGGATCAAACCGCACAGCTTGGAGCCACAGGCACTCTGCTCTTCCTCCCGACCTGGACGAAAGCCTGCCTGTTTGTTGCATGAAGGTAAGCTGACAAAGTAGCTGCCTCTGCAGCCCAGCCCGCAGCTGCTCGTTTCTTTCCCTTCTCCAAGACCTTTTAAAACATCTAGACTGACCTGCATGTAGTATTTCTGCTTTACCCACCACACAGACTCCACTGGTGGCTCCTGTCCAGGCCCAGCCTATGTCAACAGTCCAAACCACAAGCCTGATGATGGAGTCCAACTGCCACAGCCTGCAGTCCTTGCTTCCCCAAACAGAGCTTGGGGCTGAAGAGAAGGAACCCATTGCAAATGGGGCAAACCAGTGCCCTGGGCTGTGGCAGGAGGATTTGCCTGGCCCGGATAAGGCTTAGGAGCATTTCAGAGCAGCCTGCAGCTACCTGGAAGAAGGCGCAAACACAATGGAATCAAACTCCCCTTGGTGTTGGGATGGGGCACACTGAAGGGGGGGTCTCCGTATTTCCAAGATTTGGCCAGACAAAGCCTCACTGCCCTGGGCTAGCACCGGGGCCAGTCCTGCTCCACGGGGAAGGTTCCACTGAAGACTCCCAGAGGGCCCCTTCCCCCCAGCAGTCCTGTGTGAGCCGTGTCAGGCTAAGGCTGGCCGAGAGAGGTCAACACCCAACTGTCACCAAAGGATTATCAGGTGCCAGAGCCCTGGCAAACTCAATCACAGATCTTACCGTGAACTCAACGCTGTGTCCTGAGAGGTAGGTGAGGAGGTAGGAGGTCGCTGGCAGACATGCCTCAGCCACCGCAGGGTCACTGGAGTGGGAGAGCTCGTGGAGACAGCGGGCTGCCTTCATCTGCATGTCAGCCTGGCTGCTGGTAAAGAGCCCGATGAGTGTCCGGATGCTGCCGTCCAGCCTGGTGGAACCCAAAGGGTGCTGTCACCTCCTGCCTTCCCACCCTCGGCCACACACCAGCTCACCCGCACGACTGGGGCAAAGGGCCACTCTGGACGTGCTAACAGGCATGCAGTGCCAGACCTGGGCTGACCTGACAAACTTCTGCTGAGTTTCTTTGTTCTGCAGTGCCCAGCGGAGGTGGCCGAGTGATCTTTTCCTGTCCTCTGAACCCCTCTGCATGCCTCTGAGCAGCTCAAGAACCTTTTAAATGAAAAGATGAGTGAATTTCAAGCAGTGCCAGGGTTAAGATTTCATCCTGTTAATCCCGGAGGCAAAGAAACCCAGGGTGCAAAGATGGTCACAAAGAACCTTCCTGTTTCTCACCAAGCCCACCTCCACCCAGGCCCCTCTGCATGCTAAGAGGCTGGGGAAGACCCCAGGGACCACCCCCCCACCGCTGAGAACGTCACGTTCTTCACCTCATCCTCCGAGAGAGGGTCCGGCACGATCTCTGCTCCATCCTGTCCACCCTCCTCTGCTGCGCTGTCCTCCCGCAGGAGCCGCTTGCTGACCAGCTGCTGCTGCCGCCGGGCTTTCCGGAGGGCTGTGATGGAACCCGGCCCCGTCACCGCCCGCCCTAGGTGCATCTCCACCCCACCAAAAGAGCCTTATTCCTTTTAACCGGGAGAAGGTGCCAGTTCCTTCCTCCTGGTGCGAGCCCGGGAGGGACACGCGGGGCTGTGACCGCGTTTAGACCTCGCGGGGCTGCGGGGCCGGGCACTTGTCAACGTGCGAAACCACCCCGAATGCAGGACAGAGATGCGGGGAGCGGAGCGGCTGCGCTGGGAGGGACCCGAGGCTGGTTTTAGGTAGGCGAGGCCTCGGAAAACCCAAACTGCAGGGGGGGTGCCTGAGGAAATGGGGCGCCCAGGGTAGAAAACTCACGTGGACTGAAAAAATAAAACTAAAAGACTGCAGAACGCTTCCCTGAGTGGGCAGGGAGCCAACCGCGCTGCGCACCCCCCCCCCCCCCCCGGGACGTGCGGGCAGATGGGGCGAAGGGCCGGGGCTGTGTTGGGGCGGCCACGGGGGCTCCCACCGGCGACCCCCCCGCCCCCCCCCCCCCCCAATCTCCCCCCGACCCCGCCCGGTCCCGCCGCGGACCTGCCTCTCGCTCCCGCCGCCGGGCCCGCAGCTCCGCCGCGCCACCGGGCCCGGCCCCGCGCCGCCGCCCGCCCCACATGGCGGCTGGGGGGGGGGGGGGGGGGCGGGGAGGAGGGGGAGGAGGAGGAGGAGGAGGAGGAGGAGGAGGAGGAGAAGAGGGGGGAGAGAAGGGGGGGGGAGGAGGCCGGGCCCGGGGCGGGGCGGCGGGTAGAGCCGCGGCGGGGCCCGAAGCCCGAGCACCCCCGGGCAGGAGGGACCGGGCCCCTGCTGTGCCCCTGCCGGGGCTCGGCCAGCCTGGTGTCTGCCTCCCCGGGGCTGGATTGCATGTTTGTTGAAGCCAAAAAGAAAAACAAAACAAAAAAAAAGAAAAAAAAAAAAACCAAACCAAACAAACAAACAAACAAACAAACAAAAAAAAAAAAAAACAAACAAACAAAAAAAAAACCAAAACCAAAACAACAACAACAACAACAAAAAAAAAAAACAAAAAACAAAAACAAACAAACAAAAAAAAACACAAAACCCAGAGACTCAGCAGAAATGTGACACAATGGGTGTCAGTGTCTGGGGATCTTCCACAGTGGTGACGAGAACAAGAAAGTCATCACCCAAAAGATGGCTCCAAAATCACTTCTGTGAAGCAGGGTGTGGCTGGCCGCAGAGGGGAGAGAAGAGCTCATTTCTCCCCAGAAAAGCATTGGGGCATTTGCTGTTGGTGGCCAGGGATGAGCAATTCAAAGGTACCAGGCCCAGAAAGAGCGGCCAACCTCACCAAAAAGAGCAGGGAGGAGAACTCAGAAAAGCTGCTACGCTGTTTCCATGCTGCACAAACAGCAGCATTTTCCTGTAACCCAAGGATGGAGAAGAGGGATCGTGGAATTGCTGAACTGCTCTGCGCAAAGGAATTGCTCAAGGAAAAGCATCAAAGCAGTGCAGCACTCCACCTGAGCTGCCAGGCACAAGAAAAGCATCTGCAGTAGGTGTAACAACCAAAAGGAGACCTTCCCTTCACCGGTCCCAGAAGCAGAGTGCACGGGACAGGCAGCTCTGGCCCTAGCTGTTGCAGTTACCTTAATAAAATAGCTTGAATCCTAGAATATTATTTTGATTTTAAAATGGAGCTATAGTGGCTATGAGAATATAAAGCACACTAAGGCCCTTAGGAATAGGCAGCTAGTATGGTGTGGGCCTTGAACACTATAAGAATCACCATGGGCTCTGAATTAAAACAATGGGTACTGGTTATGGATCTTGAGTCGAAACAATAGGTACCAGAAGATACTGGTTTTGGTTTGGAAGACTGGCCAAAGAAGAAATGAGCATCAGCCAAAGATAAAATGAGCGTGCGCAAGGATGGAGTTCAGTCAGCGGACACAGTGAGGAAGACTATTGACGACCACCAGAGGAAACCCGTCCAACATGACCACACATACGTTAGGGACATTTGCATATGATAATGATTTCCAGGAAATAACATGAATATGCTGATCATCGCCCTCCCCTCATTCTATTCAAATCAATCAGTAAAGATGACCAATGATTTCTGTACAATAGGAATAGAGGTAAGGTGAGGTAACCGAAAGCCAATCATTATCAAGGTCAAACTAAACTTTATGAATTTTGTTGATCTTATGTAACCATGACTCCGCTGAAAAAGTGTATAAATATGTTGTGCTTTGTACCTGGCGGTGAACACGTCTTTGGTGGAGCTATCCCCCAGCGCTGGAATAAAGGAGTGCCTGCTTATCTGCTTTGTGTAGATAAGTTCTATTCGCGATTGCGACCACTAACAATAGTGTCTCTCTGTAATGTTGCATTAACAACAACAAACTGGGAACTGCATATGCTAGCTGTGCAGTCCCGTTGCCTTTCTGAAATCCAACATAGGCAGAGAAATCCCCAGGGAAGAAAAAAATCACTGACAGATCTTTCCAAGCGCCTCTTGCTGATGGAGAGCGTTAACATCTTGGTGTAGGCACAGCCACCAGCTGCCAAAGGAGCACGGGGCAAGTGATGTGAGTTCCTCAGCAAAGCCAAATAGCCGGTTTGCCAAGGAAGCTGACCTTAGGTGAAGAAGTGCCCTTTGCAGCATTGGGCTGCGGATGGGAATTTGTCCTGTCCCCGTCCTACATGGGACACAGGCATCTGGGGATGGTTTGGATGCTGGGTCTGACAGTCTTGTACCCTCCTGCAGGGTGCTTGGCACCCAGTGGGCCCCAAGGCACAGCAAGCCCAGAGCATCTGTGTTTGGGCTGGTCCCAAGAGCGCATTTATGGCACCTTGACTGCATTCTCCTCTCTCATCCTTCCTAGGAAAGCGAGCATCATTGACACTTAAACCAAAACCCTTCCCAGCCTGCAGCCGCCGGCAGCCGCAAGAGCCCTTTGCTGCAGGGAAGCGAAGCAGAAGTGACTTGGTGGTTGCTGCACAGCGTGCTGCTTCCCGTGGCACAACTGGCCCCATCCTGCTCAGGAAGTCACGCAGTGGGAGCAAGGGCAGTGTCCGGGAGCCTGCCTCCAAGCGCCGGCAGCCTCGACCGCGTGGATCTAAACGTGGCAGGACGGGGCTGCGGAAGCACCGGCGCCCGCTGGAAGACACCTGCAGGCACTGAGGTCCCGTCCAGCTGGAGGCAGGGGAGAATCCGCTGCGAGAGAGAGCCGAGCACTTGCAGAGCCTTTGGCACCTGAGCCCTGGATTTGGCAGCAGCTAGAGGAAGCGGTTGTGGGGCAAGGAAACATTTCAGTGTGAGCTGGCCGGTGAGTCACTGGATAAATCCAGCCCTGCTTCGCACTGTGCCTCCAGTGAGGGGGACTGTGCAAGTGCTGGAGGAGAGCTTCTCTCCAGGAGGGTGGTGCAGCCCTGCGACAGCACAGAGAGGTAGGGAGAGCTCTGTCCTCTCAGGTTTTTAAGACACAGCCAGAAAGAGCTGTCATTCTCTGGGGCTAGTGCCAGCAACATGTCTGCTCGAAGCAGGAGGTTGGATGGGAGACCCTCAAAGACTCCTCACCACTGCCCCAGCTGGGTGCTCAGACAGACCCGAGGCAGCACATTCTTAGAAGCTTTTAATCTTTGCTTGCTGCTTTGTTGCAAACTGTTGATAAGACTCTCCCCTCAGCTGGACAGCAAAACAATACTTGGTGCTGAGAGGGATGCATACGAACCCTCAGAAATTATTTTCTACTGTCCCTGTGGAGGCTGGTAGTGAATCAAATCACAGGGTAAGAAAAAGGAAAACATGAAGCCCTCTGTTGCAATTTCCTGCCCCAGATTACAGAGCGCCTCATGCAGAGAAACAAAGCAAGCTGTGGCTCTTCCATCTTTCATCAGTCAGACTGATATATCTGGCTTCACTGTCCGTAACTCGACATTTCCAGGTTCTCCTGATCCATGGGATTTCCTGGTCACTTAGGAACAGGAGTCTGCAGCAAGGCAGCCCAGGCAGGAAAGCGCAGAGCCCAGCGGCTGCTGCCTCAGGAGGAGCCACCCTGCCTTGCTGGAACCCTGCTTTTGGGGTGGGACTCGTGCCACCAACCAACTCCCTGCCGAGGAGTGGGTGGCCCAGACGCAGCTCTAGGTTGTTTTGCTGGTGATCTGAGCTTTGCCCTGAGTCATGGCTGAGTAGCCAGGCGGGTGCTGATGGGGTGCGCTGGACCCGCGCGAAGGGCAGGAGGGCAGCGCTATGCCTCTGGGGCTGAGCCTGCCCAAGCCAGCCCTCCGGTCGGCTGGATCTGAATGGTCCCCTCAGCTGCCGTGAGACCGCTGCCTTTCACCGTTGCTCTCGTTTCTAGGTTGTTCGCCATGAATGGGGCTGTCCTCCTTTTCCTGGGGCTGGGGCTGTTGGAGGCCGAAGGCAGGTGTTTCTTAAATCGCACTCAGAAGCACTGTGTGTGCTACAACCTGTCTGAGGAAAGCGTAGGCAGCATCATCCAGTGCTTCCCAGCCTCTGTTGTGGAGTTCCGGGGCGGAGAGCTGGAGAGATACATAGCCTTCCCCATCACTGACCTGGACACCTCCACCACTGAAATGCTGGGCTCCCTTGTCATCAGGAAAATAATTTTTGGTGATCTCCTGGTGCCTGAGATACTCCTCGCCCGAGTCCTGAGGTTCTTCTCCTACACCCAGGTGCAGGAGCTGGCGTTTGAGAGCTGCGTTTTTGAGGGGAGAGGCAACTGGGATGAAATGGCTGACCAGAACTTGCCCATATTGTCTCTGCACTTCCACAACGTGACATCCGCCCCACTGACGGGCCGCGAACAGGACTTGTCTAGTCTGAGCAGCTGGCTGGAGACCCTGCAGGAGCTGGCTGTCACTGGCTCCCATGTCACCAGCCTGCCCTGTGGCATCGGAAGGGTGTTCAGAGCTCTGCGCTCCCTGGACATGGCACAAAACAGCCTTGGGGATGAGAGCTTGATGCCCACCTTCTGCAAGGGGGCTTTCCCTCAGCTCCAGGTACTGAGCCTGCAGCGCAACAACCTGACGTCCTACCACAGCGTGTGTGAAAGCATGCAGCTGCTGCCTGAGCTCCAGCATCTAGATCTCAGCCAGAACAAGTTCATGGCAGACCCATCTTCCTCCTGCCAGTTCCCAGTGTCCCTCCAAATCTTGAATTTGTCCAACACTGGCTTGGATGAAGTCCTCACACCTCTGCCTCCCCATCTAGAAGTGTTGGACCTGAGCTGCAACCACCTCCATGCTGTAGACATCTCCCTCAGCTCCCTGAAGAAGCTCTTCCTGAGCCAAAACGTGCTGCAGGCTGCCCCCTCCATCAGGAATTACCCCATGCTGGACACCCTCCACCTAGACAACAACTTGATTACAGAGCTGCCAGGGGATGAGGTGAAGCTCCTGGGGCACTTGCAGGATGTGGCTGCGGCAGGCAACCCCTACAACTGCTCGTGCTCTGGGGCTGGGGGGCTCCAGGCGCTGGCGGGCACGGGGCACCTTGGGCAGGGCTGGCCCCGGGACTACGTGTGTCACTCCCCTCCTCGGTACCAGGGCAGGCTGGTGAAGGAGGTGCCGGTCTCAGTGCTGCAGTGTAACAGTGCTGCCGTGATTGCCCCTCTCTGCATCGCCCTCGCCTCCCTCGGCGTGGCCGGGGCCATCTGCCTGGTCAGATCCAGGCCTGGGCTCATCCGGCCCTGCCACAGGGTGTGAAGGAGGCAGGTGACCGTTCCCACCAGTGCTTCTCTGCAGGGGCTCAGCCCCTGGGGCTACAAGGCCAGGAGCTCTGTGGGAATACTCACAGGACCCCCAAGTGCTGGTGAGGGGCTCTCTCTTTCTCTCCAGTCCAGGCTCCCCTGTGGGGCAGGACTGTCCCCAGCATCACCTCACAGTGGCTGTGGTTTTGCCCATCCAAGTTTTGGGGAAACCCCCAAGAAAATCCCCTTGCCAAGCTCTGTCCCAGAGCTGCACCCTCCCAGAGGAGTTTTCCTGATTGCCAACTCTAACCCCCCAAGCCCCAGCATGCAGCCATTCCCCCCTGTGATGCCATCTGCCCTGAACAAGAGTTCAGCTCCATCACATTTGCGGCACTGCAGGCAGCTCTCGGATGCTCCAAGTGTCACCGGGGTCTGATGGTGCTCCCCCCGCCTTGTAGCCCTGTGTCCCCCAGCCCAGCCACCCTTGCAGCCTCTGCGGCCCCTCTGCTGATCCTCCACTTCTCCTCACCCAGGGATATGGCTGGGCCATGCCTGTGAGGATGTCTGCTTAACTGCTATTCAGCATAAGAGAAAAACCACAAAAGACAGGAAAAGGAATAAATGAAACACCCCTATACAGAAATGCTAACGGGTGGGAGGTAACAGGGACAGTAACCAAGACCCCAGCTCTCAAGGCACTGGTGGATGAACTCCTCAAGTGTGATCTTGAAGAGGTTCAACCAGAAACTTTTTAACTGCTAAGAAGAAAACTGATTTATTCTGGGTTCTGGGTTATTCAGAAAATGTCCCATAGGAAAGAGAAAATTGAATGTGGGATGCTGAGGGAGATCAGAGGGGAATGCAAAACTTGCTGGGGAATGCTTGGGGGAAGGATCAACGGGAGGATCACGGTGGGTGGGTGGGGAAGGAACAAGCATGGGAAATTGGGGACGGGGAAGAAGGGGGCTGGTTGTAGGTAGGCAGCGCTCACCCGGCCAAGCCCTGCGCTTCATCCCCATGGTCTGTCCTGCCTTCTCATTAAAATCCATTCCTGGGTATTTTCCATGTCACTTCACTCTATTCTGTTTGTGCACACGTGCACGTGCCCTGCGATCAAACGCAGGCTGGGCTTGCCGGTGGGTGGGAAACCAGAGTGTGGGAAGACCCACGGCTGGAGCGGGAGAGTGGCTGAGCCGGGCCCAGGATCCAGCCGTGGATCCGTGATGGGCTTGGGGTCTGCTGCGAGTTCAAGGGCACGCGGGTGTGCACCGGCCTGTGGGTCGAGGGTGGGATCGTGCCACCGGCCCACGTCAGCCCTGAGCAACTGGAGGGGAGGGATGGGGCCGTGCCGCCCGTGGGCTTGTGTTCACGGGAGTGCTGCTGGCAAACTTGCTGCTCCGCTTGCGTTGACCCGTGTGGACGTGTGGACACCAGGCAACTGCATTTGGATCTTGGGGGCTGGTGCTCAGCCTTGCTGCTGGCAGGACCTGGGGATAGGGAGCAGCAGCTGCTATCTAATGGATGAGAAAGGAGAAATCCCTGTGTCCCTGAATCCTAGGATTTGCTTTCCCGTAGCAACACCCGCATGAAGCACGTCCCCACCCCTTGCTTTGCACCTGATGGAGCCCCAGGCGCTTCTTGCTCCAATTGCAATGGTGGCTCGTGTCCAGCCTGGCATCACCCCTATGCCTGAAGCTGTCTGGGCAGTCAGGGGCTCAGGGAGGTGGGGGCAGCGTTGGCAATTTCATTCTGTAGGGGGAACGGTGGCAAACAGAGGGAGGCGTGTGCACCTCCGCATCGCGCCTGGTCCTGTCCAAATGCAAAGGGCAGGGGCTGTCCTGGGACCTCTCTCCTCTCTCCCACAGTCTGTTCCCACAGGCCACAGAGCTCCTCAGCTTCAGCATTTCCTTTCGTGTTTCCTTGATAGGAACGATCTCCAATACATGTGATTCTGTGGTTTGTGGCTGCTCCTTGTGTCTAGAAAACCTTTATGACAGTCTGATGACCCTCATCTCCTGTCCCCGGCTTGCAAAGATGTCCCTCTTGGGGCCAGGAGCACGCCAATGGTGCGAGTGGGTCCAGGCACCCACTTGCTCCCCTGGTCCCACTGAGTCCTTGCCCAGAGGGGCTCAGCCTCCAGGACATGGTGCCTCCAGGCTGGGCCCGGCTCTGCCTGGCTCTGCCCCCACGACTGTGCCTGACACCCATTAATAATGCAGGGGAACAGGATCCCTCCGTGTAACCCCATCTCCTGCCCTGTCCAAAACTGCAGCTCGAGGGCTGCTGCTACTGAGCTGGCCATGGATGCTGGGGAGGTGAGCGCCATCGTGGGGGATATCACAAGGTGGTTTGGGGGGATCTGTCCCCTGCCTTTGGTGCAGCATGGCCGGGCACTGCCCAGCTCCCCAGGGGCTCATCCAGCTCCTGGCAGGTGCTGGGTGTGTGGGGCAGGACCCGGCTCATTCTCCCTCTGCCCTGTGTCCTGGCAGGCTGAGCAGGACGTGCGCGTACGAGCAGCCGTGGGGCTCCACCAGGCAGCAGGTAGAGCTGGGGCTCAGGACACCCGCAGAGTCCCAGCGCCTTCAGCACCACGCCAGGCAACCAGGCACTGGGACCGCTGGCCATGTTGGTGGGCCTGGGCCAGGCAGTGGTGATGGGGAGGGGGTGTCCTCCCCACCTTGGTGGCTCTGAGCACCATGGCCATAGCAGGAGGGCTCGGGAATGACGTGAAGTCCTGGGACCCGGCCCCAGGTGGCGATGGCAGTGCTGAGGCAGGTGGGGGTGACACACACCGCCCGTCCACCCCCCACACTGTGTTTTCAGGGCCGGGGGAGAGCGGGCCGGCCAGCACCGAAGACCCCCTGCAGCTTCTCTTCGCTGGGAAGGAGGTCCAGGTGAGAGTGGCAGGGATGTGGGCATCAAGGGGACAAGGGTCCCTGGGGAACCTGATGGGAGCAGTGAGCTCTGTCCCAGCCCCCGGCCACGCTTGGGCCCCTGCTGGGGGCTGATCCTGCCCTACACCCCTACGGGACCCTCTCTTGCCGGGGGCTCATGGGGTTTACCAGATAGCAGGGGAAGGGAGGAGGTGTCCCCTCACCGCTGCCTGTGCCAGGCCCTCCACGCCACCCCTGCCATCTCCATCCTAGTGTGCCCAGTCCCTCCTTTACCCTGCACTGGTCATACTGGGATGGGGGAATGCTAAACATTATCACCCTCCTTCCCTCCTGCCAGGGGAGCTGCTCAACTGTCGATGGCGTCTTCCACTTGGATGCAGGACAGGTATTGTGGCCCCCAAATCCTTCTGCACCCCTGTCCCCAGCCAGATGAGCCAGGGACGTGCTGGCCCAAGCTGCGGGCTGGGGCACCCAGCTGCAGTTCTGGGGGCACTGGGCACCGCTGCCAGCTCCTCGGGTGTCACAGGCAGTGCTGGGGACCCAGGGCTTGGTCCTACGCGTGGCTCTGCTGGTGGTTCTCTCCCCTTCCCGGTTTCCTCTTGGGTGCTGGGACATGGCTGCCACCGTATGCCGCGCTGTCTGTGCCTCGCTGCCCGGGCCGTGCTCTCTCTGCTCAACGCTGTGCTGTGCCACACCACGCATGCCATGCACCTACACCGTGCCACCCATACTGGGCTATCTGTGCTGGGCCACCCATGCCACACCACCTCTGTTGTGCTGCCTGGTCCATGCCAATGCCCTCTGTGCTGGGCCGTGCCATACCTGCTCTGCTGGCTACGTCTCTCCTACCAGGAGAAGGTTCTGGAGTTGGCAAGACCCCAGCTGGCCCTGGTTCCCCTTGGCTACAGTGTGTCCCTGCTGCTGTGGGACCCCCGCGGCCCTGGGACCCAGCTACCCTTCCAGAGCATCGTCTGGCAGGTGAGGACACGGCGCATGTAGGGGAGAGATGACAACGCAACTGCACAGTGCTGGGCTGTTGGGACACCCCACTGACCCCAGTCCTGCTGGTGTGGGTGTGACACCTAGCCACGGGGTGCCAGGAACCAACGGTTCCCAGCTTGCCTGGCTTGTCCCCAGGTGATCGACACCATCTTTCAAGAACTGGAGGCCTTTCGGGGCGACGCACAGAGCCTGAAAACTGTCAGCCTGGTCCAGGTAGGGCAGGAGCAGGGCTGGCCAGGATGCCGGGGGGGGGGATCCTGTTCCCTCGCCGCCACTGGCCAGGCCCTGCTGCGCCAAGGGACAGTCCCCTATGCCAGTGGGTGACCGTGGCCGGAGCCGTTCAGATCCCAGGTTTTCTCACCCCTTTGCGGGACTTCCCAGGCGTGGGAAGCCTCAGCTGCCAACAGGGTGTCTCCCAGGCTCCAGCAGCATGGTGGGCACAGGGGAGCCCTCTGACACCTCCCTGCCCACGTCGTGGCTGGGTTTTTTCCTGCTCCCTGTGGCCTGGAGGTCCCTCCAGTGCATCCTCGGTTGGCACGGGAGCGATGCAAGCTCCTGCCACCACGATGGGCCCTACGCTTTGGCTCTGGGATGCTGCCAGGGACCTGCCAAGCTCCACACACGGCTTGAGTGTTCCCAGGGCTCTGCCTTTCCCTGGCCCTGGGGCTGGAAAAGCTGGGAGTGATGCTGAGATCGTTGCCTTCTCAGCCCTCACCTGTGAATGGCCATGAACAACATGGGTCCCTGGTGAGGGCAGGATTCCAGCAGCCCCCTCTTTCTGCCCCGCCACCTAACACAGCCCCATTCCAGGTCTGCGCCCATGACAAAGCCTGGGACCTGCTCCATCCTGACGGCCGAGCCCTGCAAGTGATGGATGTCGCGCCCCTGGGCCTGTAGGTACCTGATGCCCCACGGTCAGGCAGGTACACCCGGGGGAGGGGGGGGCTGGTAGCCTAACATCAAGCATGGGGCTGGGCAGGGAGCATGGTGCCCAGCCAGAGAACGACCAGGGGTATCCCTCGGGGATCCTGGGCATGCAGGAGGAGGGTGGACGTGGCCCTCCGCACTTGCTCTTGTCTCTCTCTGCTTCCAGGATGGTGGAGGAGGCAGCAGAAATTGCCGTACCCGATGCCCAAGCTGCCATCAGTGTCTACGCCTGGGGGCTGGGCGCCATCCCGGCACTGTTCCAGGGGTGTGCCCATCAGCCCCCCGCAGACAGGAGCTTAGACATGCAGGGGTGAGGGATTCGGCAGATATCCCGCAGGGTTGGGAAGGATTGGGCCACGGGGTCCTGGGGCTGGCTCCGGGCACTGCTGCAGCCCCTCTTCCACGTTGGCCTCTCCCTAGTGCTGGCAGCCTCTTCACTCTCACAGTGGAGCGGGAGCTGGAGGGCGGCAGGTACCAGCGCTCGGCCCTCAGGATCCTGGCATCCCCTGGGGCCACTGGGCCCTGCCCCGAGACGTACGTACTGGACCTGCGGCTCTGTGCTGGGGCTGAGCCGTGACCCCTTTTGGGGTCTCCCGCTGAGGGGCCGTGGGGGGAGTCAGTACCCAGAGGCGAAGCAGGAGGGACCCCGACACCCCGGTGGGAGCCCAGGGCTCAGATCCAAGGGGTTGCCGCTGCCCACTGGGAACGCGGGCTTGCTCCCAGTTCCTTGGGCTCCCGTGGGTCCGGGCTCAGCCTGCCTGGCACGTGGGTCCCAGCCCCATCCCTCTCCTGGGGTGTTTCTCGCCCCACGCGCAGGGCACCGGCCGCTGCCCACCCCTTGCCTGATGCTGGCTGCCTGCCCTGGATCGTCGAGCGGCTGCTGGAGGGGAACAGCCTGACGTTCCTGCTGCTGTGTGTGACGCTGCCAGGTAGCCCCTGGGACTGGGACGCTGCTTCGGGGTGCCCCCCTCCCTGAGGTGTCCCCCTCCGTCTCCCCCCACGCCTGGCACTCGGTCCCTGGCCACTGCCCAGGGACACCCGCAGTCATTAGAAGCCAGACACCGGCTCCGCTCATCCCCACCAGCCCTGACCCTGTGCCGGGCACTGGGATGTCCCCGTGCTGGTGGACCCCCACGGCCCCTGCCCAGGGCTTGCTGCTCTCCCAGACACCTCCAGAGAAGAAATCCTGGCAGCCCTGGGGCTGGCCGAGCAGGTCAAGGGGCTGGCCAAGACGATCTCAGCCACACTCTGGGACCCCGCGCAAGAGGTTGCGGCACGTCGGAGGGAGATCCGAGGGCTGCGGACGGAGCTGCTGGCTAGAGCTGGCCTCCCCGAGCAGAAGATGGCCCTGGCCCAGCTGCGGAGAGCCCTGCGAGAGCTGCAGGTGGGGGAATGCCCCTGGCCCCCAGATGGGACCAGGATGGCACTGATGGCCCCCCGGGCGGATAAGGTCCGGGCTCCATCCTGGGGTCAAGACCCAGCACTAAGGACAGGGGCTGGCGGCTGCCTGCCAGGGGATGAGATGGTGGAGGTGGGATGCATCCCCCGAGGTGTGACGTGCCTGGAGTTCTCCAGCGCTGCAGCAAGGATCCCCAGCCCGCTTTTCCAGGTGCTGAAGAGCCAAATGTGGGAGAAGAAGGAGGCAGCGGCTGAGGTGCTCAGGACAAGTCAGATACATCATCCCAGTGCCAAGGTGGGCACAGGTCAGGCCACCGCCCCGCTCACCCAGGGACAACCCAGGCGGAGGAGAAGCCCTGAATCCTGGTTGCGTTCCCGTAACATCTCCTCCTGCTCCCACAGGACCGGGTACCCGCAGGGAACACGGTGCCGGGCCAGCAGACTGGGACCCAGACGCCCCTGACTGGTGCCAGTCAGGAGCCAGCAGGTCGGGAGCATGGGGACAGGCACACGCCCTGTGCCTGGGTGGCTGATATGTGGGCGCGGAGCATTGCTTTACACGGTGGGAAAAGGCTTTCCTCAGGCTGGAAGAAGCCTCAGTCCTTTGTTTAAACTGACTTCTTCAGCTGTGCCACATCATGCTCCTTCTCCTTCCCTCTCCCTGCCCAGGACCAGCTGCCAGCGAGAGCAGCCAGGGAGGGGACAGCCAAGCCCCAGCAAGCACAGGGCACGGCCTGCTGGAGGAGCCCTTGCCGAGCGAAGCACCACAGCCACGGCCACTGACCAGGGGTGACACGGTGAGTGGGAGCCCACTGGGTCCCTGCCTGCGGCTCCTGGGCCTGCATCCCTCTTGCACCAGCAGCACCGGGTCCCCCAGCTCCTGTCTGAGCCAGCTCTGCTCTCTGCCAGGCAGGGAGCCGGTGCCAGCCGTGCCCGTCCCTGGAGGTCCAGTACGCCCTGGCCAAGGCGCAGAGGCAGCGGCTGTGGGCTCAGCACTGCCGGCTCCTCCAGCAAGAGCTTGGGGCTGGGGCAGTGCCAGGCCGGGAGGCGAGCAGGGAGGTGGGCACGCGTGGGCTCCAGGCTCTCCTCCTTCCCCGGCGCTGCTCTTCCAGAGCAGGGCAGCCGCAGGGAGCAGAGACACCGCAGAGCTGCCCCGTCCTCATCCCTGTCCCCCGCAGTGGGATGCAGCCCGCTGGCAGCAGGAGGTGGCCACGCTGGGGCTGAGCCTGGAGGCAGCGCGGAGGGAGCGGGAGGCGGCTGAGTGGGACCTGGAGGCCTTGCTGCAGAGCCATCGGCAGGAGATGCAGGCCTGCAGGCAGCACCTGCTGCAGGTGGGCAGGGAGGGCTGGGGACGCGCCTCCGGGCTGCTGGGGCCGTGCCAGGCAGCTCCAGGCATCCCTGCAGGTGCTCCAGGACCAACAGCGCCTGGCAGAGGAGCAGAGGGAGGCCCTGGAGCGCCGGCACCGGGGGCTGCTGCAGGAGGTGCTCCGGGACGCCGTGGAGCTCGCTGCACACAACCAGCAGCTGCAGGATGCCAGATGGCCGAGATCAGCCGATGCCACCACACAGACATCCTGAGCCAGCACCACAGGATGGTGGGGACAGCTGCCCTGGCAGGCAGGACAGGGCCCCTGCAGACCCTTGCCACCTCAACCCCCCCCCCCCCCCCCCCCTCCCTGGAGTGAGCCACCAGCCCCGAGGCCAGGGGACCAGCCAGCCTCAGCTACAGCAGTTACACAGGGCAAGGCCTCCTACCCTGCATGCAGAAACCTGGCCCTGGGGGAGGGCTTCACCCCTCTGTCCCTGCGGGGAAAACCCTGCTCTGCTGCTGGGCACCTGCCTGCAGGAGCATGGGCTCGGGCACACAGCCCTGCAGCAGGAGCAGAGCGGGCACGGTGGGAGGGCTGGTGGCTCCCGCAGCTGCTGCCATGTGAAATAAAGCGTGTACCCCTTCACCAATGCGTGTCGTCAGGCTTGGACATACCCCTGCCCCCCCTAAACCTCTGCCAAGAGAAACAGATGCCTTCCTGGAGGGAGGACAGACACACACATGCTGTTGAACTGCAACTTTAATAACCCTTGCCAGGGCCAGCAGCGACTTCTGCTTGCCAGGAACCCACTAGCTGCAGCACTGGTACAAATTTGGGTGCTGTTTCCCTTTTGGAAAGCAGGTGAAACAGTTCCCACATCCCCCCATTCCCCATCTTCTCTGCATGAAGCAGTGACACCATGCCCGAGAAGGGGAAATGGGGCCTAAGGACAGCAGCTCTTTAGCCAGGGGTGGGCTGGAAGACTGCAGAGGTGGGAGAGATGTCCCTGGACACAGCACGAGGCTCTCCAGGCACCAGCACTCAGCCTTGTGCAGATAGCTAGGGGAAGCATCATCCACAGGAGTTGAAACAGCATCAGATCAACGCCGGCCTGGCAGTGATCGTGCAGCAGGCCTGCCCGTGCACAGAGGAGCCCACAGCACAGCGGAGCTAACCACTGCAGGAGCATTTACAGGCACAAGAGACAGGTACACTCTGATGCAGGGGAGATGGGGGGAAGCAGCTTGGGAATGAGATGCCACATGCACAAGGGGCTCAGGACCCACCCTTGGGGCTGGGCATGTCTGATCTCACAGGAACCCCGTGGCACAGAGCCTGCCTGGGCTGGAGCAGGGCCCAGCTTCCCCCCCTGGCAACAGAGACAGGACGCTTCCCCCTCAGCATTCTTCCTCTGGGGCCCCTGGCTAGTCGTGCATGTGCCCACCAGTAACAACACCCCGCAAACACCAGCGTGGGGAAGCCGACAGCAAGAGCACCTCTGTGCTTCCAACACCAGCCCCGGCACAAGCACTAAACACCCCTGAGGAACGACTAAAGGCTGCCCTGGCACATGGAGGGCAGGGAGGCAGCAGCTACGTGACCCCATAGTACAAGTGAACAGCGAGGCCGATGCATAAGACAGCAACAAAGAAGAGGAGGGTGAGCTGCAGATTGAAGAGGGTGACAGACAGGAGGGCGTTGACCAGGATCGAGCAGGAGATCACGAAGAGCCTAGTGATGTTACTGCTGTGCTTCATGACCACGGACATGATCAAGCCATTCAAGGCCTGGCTGATCACAATCACCAACACCCAGGAGGAAAAGCCCTCCAAGAAACCGCCCTCCACGCTGCTCCAGAAGTAGCCGATCAAGTTGAACAGGACCCCAAAGAAGTAAAGGAAGAGGTTCTGAAGGCTGAGAGGCAAGGCCTGCATTTTCAGGATGGCTTCTGTGTAGACAGCAGACAAGCCCGATATCAGGCAGTATACGGAGATCAGCAACAAGCCCACCAGCGTGATGTGCAGCTGCATCTCAGAGGGGCTGCCAGGGTCTTGCAGGCCACCGCAACTGTAGCTCACCCCAGCAGCCACCAGCAGGAACAGAGCCAGCCATTTGCGCATGCTGAGTCTTTGGTGCAGGAAGAGGCTGTAGAGGAGCGCGGTGCTGACAATCTTTAAGTTACTCAAGACCTGGTAGGTGCTGGGATCCATGAAGAGCTGCATGTGAACCACCAGGTTGTTGTTGGCAGCATAGAGCAGGGCAGAGAGGGCGAAGGGGACAACGTGGCGCCATGACACAGTGACTCCCAGCAGCTCCCGGTCCCAGGTCAGCAGGAACAGGAGGGAGAACACCAGCTTTGTCAGCTCGACAAGAACCACAACGGACGTGGAGCTGAAGGGGATCATCCCGTCCACCTTGCACCGTGTCAGGAGGGGAGCATGGGAGCCATATATGGCTACAGACAAGATCAGCATCAGTCCCCACAGTCCCCTCCGGAGCACCCAGTTTGCAGAGCCAGCAGAACTACTAAACATGACCATTTTCAGGCAGTAGCCAGCAAGGACGAGCTGCTATCTGTGCAGAGAGGTCAGACAGACTCTCACCCTAGAACATTCAAGAAGAGACCAAATACCATGAATTTAATGAGCCTGATTAAAACAGGATGCTACCTGCTACATTTCTGATGAAGTAGAAGAGAATGGTTTTGTCCTTCCTTAGGGAGAAAACTACAAGCCTCCCCAGGAAGCCACACAAAATATGTTCCTAGGGCAAAGTGTGCACTTGGTGGAAGGGCATATGGGTGGTGTGCGTGAGGACATGTCACAAGCAGCCTTTCAGTGTACAGGAGCATGGGTGAGAGGCGAGGGGAAAAGCAGCTGGCAAACCGTCAGCCACCGTGGGTTAGTGATCACCGCTGCCACGATGCTCTAAGAAATACCCCAAAACCAGACCCGCCGATGTCTCACAATGAGGTGGTATAAAGCCCTTTTCCAGTGGAATAGATCAGTGTGCATGATGTGCCTCTGAAAGCCCTAGGAATCTTCTGCACCTGCTGACTAAGAAGTACTGTTCCTACAGTCACTGCCGCCAAAGGGCTCCTCGCTAGTCCCGACCTTTTTTCAGTGAACCGAAATAGTCCCGGACTGTCTTTTCAACATTGGGGACGGCGTAGTTCTGAGCGGCGTATATCCCCGTGCAGGTCCCAACCACGAACCCCAGGACGGCCGAGAAGCGAAGTTTGGCTACCAGGTAGCCTGCCAGGAAGCCTTTGAGAAAGGGTGAGGCCAGCAGAGAGCCATCCTGAGGAAAAGAGTGGAGAGTGAGGCCACCGGGCAGGTTGGGCTAGCAGCCGGAATGCAGAGCATAAATGTGCCCCAGGGATTTGGGATTTTTTTTTTTTTTTTTTTTTTTTTTTTACTAATCCCGCTCAGGACGGGGGACAGGCCCCGCGGCACACGAGGCACCATACCGGCGAGGAAAGCGCGTTACCTGCCCCACGCCAGCGTGCACCTCATCCTCCACCCTGCGCTGCAGGCTCTCCAGCTGGTCCTTCAGGAAGGCGAGGTCCTTCAGCTTGGGCAGCGGGTCCTGGGGAGGGGTTGGGGGAAGACACTCAAGCTGATTCCCGTCCCCCGGGGCCAGGTCCCGGCGCCCCGCCAACCCCGTGCCGGGTCCCCTCACGCCCGCCCCGCTCACCTTATCGTCCGCCATCTTAGCGCAGGCACCGCCCGCAGCTGATTGGCCCAGGGGAGGGCACGTGACTCCCCCCTCGCCGCCGGCCCGCCCGCCGCCATCTTGAGGCGGCGTGTGTGTGGGTGTGTGTGTGGGGGGGGGGCGGTCGCTGCCGTGATGGCGGCGTTGGCTTCCTCCTGAGGGAGGTCCTGCGGGAGGGGTGGAGATTGAGGCCGGTACCGAGGCTCGCAGAGCGGCGGGAGGTGTGGGGCCGCCCCTGGTGAGGGGGGGCAGCCGGGCATCGTGGCCCTCCCCAGAGCCATCTGGGTTCCCCAGAGCACCTAGCCGCCTTCTCGGCCTCGACGGGGGGGCCCTGGAGGGCGGTGGCTGGTGCTGGGGAAGGACACCCGGGGGGGAGCTGTGTAAGCATGTGGGAAGGAAGGGCCTCAGAGGTCCTGCGGTAGGGCAGGGGGCAGCTGCTTGTGTCTTCGGTTTAACTGTGCCCTGAGCTGGTGGGAGCTGCGGGGAGTGTGTTCGATCGCTCTCCTGGGGCACGGGGACCTTCTGCACCAGCTGGGTGTGCACACCTCTGCCGGTGTACCCAGATCCCCCGTGTGGCTGTTCCTCTTGCAAAGGTCCAAGTGTTCTGGCTTAATATAAGGAGGGCTGTGAAAGAGCTGGTAAAGCTGACAGAGTGACACTATAATTAAACCAAGGAAATAGCGAGGTAAGTGTGAGGAGTGACACCGTAAAGCCATCAAGCAGGGAAGTGCCAAGACAAGCGCGCAGGAACAAAAGCTGCTAACTGAACCAGGGAGAGAACTAGTTTAACTACGAGCGAGCTTTTCTCATTGACATAGTGGAAAGCTGCACTCGAGTAGGAAAAAGCCCCCTACCAAGAAAAGCCCCCTTCCTCACTGAACATGTGCAGTTAAGAAAGTATACCGTGACTTTAAATTGGGATGAGGCGCGTGTTATTAACTAATAAGGAACAAAGAGGTGAGAAACTAACCACTGATCGTTAAATATGTATTTGTGTCGTCTGAAGTGTATAAATGTCACCTGCGTGTGGTGTGCTAGCTGTGTGGACTTCCCACCGAGCACCCACCTCTGCGCAGATACTGATTAAACAAATACCTTGACTCTTGGCTTGTTGCACACCCGGTAAAAGAACCGGGGCAATGGGAGGCTCAGCACGGCGCCTGCCCCGAGGTGCCTTGCCGCACCCCTCGCTGGCTGGCAGAGGGGTCCCAGTGCCTTGGCAGGGCGCTTGCTGGGGGCTCTGTGCTCAGGAGCCCCGTGGCTCTGCCCCAGAAGGTCCTGCCGCGCTGCTGGGGCTGGCAGCAAGGTCGGAGCGGTCTCCTGCGTCGCTCACTTCCCCCGCCTGCCCTCCTTCCCCTTCCAGGCAAAGCTCTGCCCCGGGGTCCCGGTCACACCTCGGCGGGGCGGACACGTCCTGACGCTGAGTGTTGAGGTCCGGGGAGGGAGCAGCGGGAGCTGAGGGGTGCGAGGAAGAAGTGATGGTGGGACACTGATGCCTTAGGTTTCTGGCTTGGTGGTGGAGGACGGGCTGCGGCAGGGTGTGGGAGCAGCCTTCCCCCGCCAGCCCCACAGGCACGGTTCTAGCAAGTGAAGAGCCCTGCAGGAATGTCACAGAGGGACAGGAGCAGGTTGGGTTCCTGTTCCAGTTCTTTGGTTCATAGGTAATAGAAACCTGTCTGCCTTTATGCTTCGTGCCTCCCAGCGTTGGGCTGTGGCTTTTCGGCATAGCTGAGAAGCTAGCTGAGGTGACGGCGAGTTGTACAGAGACGTGGCTGAAGGAATTGCTTGTCGGTCTGCCTCTACCCGCAGTCTTCCAAAGCTGCCGCCATCCGCTTGTGGCCAGGGGCTGGTGGCAGAATAGCGGACGTGTGAAGGGAAATGTCACAGGATCAAACAGCGTGAAGGCAGCTGGGTGACGGAGTCCAGAGCTGGGGTTTGAAGGAAGCTGGCAGGGCCCAGCTGTGACCCTGGGCTGCCAGGACCTGCCCCTCAGCAGCCCCTGGTCCCTCAGGGTCTCTCCCCAGGGACGGCTGGGGACCAGGTTGAGGAGATCTCTACAGGTTTGCCCACAGCTCTGTCACGGGGGAATCATCTGGCACCTCGGTGTGGATGTGTGCCCTGAAAACACTGGCGTCTTCCGTGCTAGTGAGCAGAGCCCCGCGCCGTGGCTCATGTGCTCCTGCACGGCAGCGACGTGGAACTTGGTCTGACCTTCTTAGCAGCGAGGATATTTTCCAAACGGATGAGCGTTTCCCCGTCACCAGCCTAAGAGGGAGGAGATGTTCCCCTGTGGTCTGGGCTGCACCTGTCCGGGATGTGGTACCCGTCACAGGGTACCATGCCTTCAGGCCCCACGTGGGCCAGCTCTTGGGTCCCAAAGGGCCCTGCTCTGTAAGTCTGTGTGACCAGATACTGTAAGTGTGGATGGAGAAATAACTGCCGCAGGCCACAGAGGCAAAGTGCATGCTGAGAGGCAGGCTGTGAAAGTCCCCCAAGAATTGGTGAGAGGCTGGCAGTGGTTTTGAATACACAGGAACTGGTGAGTGTAGGACACCATAAGGCTTCTGTCACGGGCGAGCATCAGCAGGGGGTCGTGTAACTCGGACTGGGTCCGTTGCACGCAGCAGGATGTTGTACAAGTGTCTGAAGAGAGAAGAGCCTCTCTGAGGGACATTGCGAGAACCTTCCTGGTGGGCTCTGGTGTGTCAGTGCAACACTCCACTCCGGGGAACAGACGGGGTCGGCCCCCCCCGTGTCGCTGCATGAGTGAGAGTGAGTGACCCCCGTGAGCCGGTGACTGCACTGTGGGACTGGTTATTTGTGGTTGATACCAGCTTGAGCCTGTTAATAGCCAATGCTTAATGGTCTTCTAGTGGACCCTCTTAAAGGTCTTCTAATAAATACCGATTCAGACTTGGTCCCCTCTCAGGTGAAATGGAATTTACACTGCTTGAGCACCCCTTCCATTTCCCCCTCAGAGGGGGAGCACTGGGAAGCTGCAGATCTGTGGACTCTTCTCCACCCGTGTGTGCCATGGTGCCTCCAGGCTCTCCAGGCCAGCAGAGAAAAGTCAAGGGCCGCCAAAGGTAACCCCTCCAAACATAGCAGATAGTTGTCAATGTGCATGCAGTCCTTGTACCACCAGAGCAAGTGAGGTGAGGGTTCGCCCCGTAGGGCTGGCCGGGAAGAGCACACTGTCCCTCCAGCCCACGCAGGAGACGGGGCAGCCCTCGGGTCAGGGCGTGCTGTCCCTGGCACGCGGAGGGGAGCTGAGCCCTGGGGATCGCTATCTGCCGCATGCCTGTTAGTGAGAACCTGTGTGGGTGGGTGAATGTGTGCTAGTGCAGCTCCAGCCTAGAGAGGTGCAGAGCACAGAAAGGTGGAAAGCAGCTTTCAGTGTAGGGATCTGTACTTGAGCCTGTATCTCATCCCATCTCTGGTCCTGCTCTTGCGGCAAGCCCTCGCCATGGGGCACTGGTGTGGGTCTGGCAGACAGCTGCACTGGAGCCTCCGGTAACTGGTCCTGTGGTTGGTGTGGGGCACAGGTGGCAGGACCTGTTTGGTCCCAATTGTGGTGTCTCATCCTGTGGCTCAAGATCCCTCCTGCCCTCTTCCTGGCCCTAGGCCACAGTATCAAGACAGCCATCCTTTTCCCAATATCGAGGGGTGGAGGCAATCCTCCTCGGCTCTCTCCTGCTGGTGATTTCAGGGCAGGTCTGGGGCCTCAGGAGGCTGCGTCCAGCCTGAGGAAAGTACCAGATACAGGAAAAAGAGACAAAACATGTCCCAGCCTAATTAACTCCTCTTCCTCTCCCTTTCATGAGCAGGATGTGTTTGTGCAGCCAACGCTGTGGGCTCTTTCCTCAGTGGTCAAAGCAACTCAGACGTCAGTGCTGTTTTTCTGGGGATAGACAGCAACTCGGGGCATCCTCTCTGCATCTGTGTCTGCTGTGGTTAGCCAGGTCACTCCTGCCCTGAACAGCTTTATGCCACACCAGTCAGGTCTGGGGGGATGCTCAGCTATGATGGCTGGCTGCGCTGGCTGCCTCCTGCTCTTCCTGCAGACCCCAGCACCAGAAACCAGAGCAAAACTGATGAAGGGAGAACAAAACTGGCTCTTTAAAACGAACACCTTGAAGTTACTATCTAAAGGTTAGAGCTGGCAGTTGTCTCTTCGCTAGTAAGGGGCTTTGCTTAGTAAAGAGCTGCCAGAAGAAGGGACCCTGTGTGGGCCCCCTGAGCCCCCTGTGACCCCAGACTGGCACCCAGAAATAACCCTTCTTCCCTACTTGGGGCTTTAAGTTGTGTTTTCATTTCTTTGTCTGTTCACCTTTCTGCGAGACCTACGCATTGCACAGTTGCGCTGGGGATCATACGCCATCTAACGCGTTCATTGGAGATGCCAGTGAAACACAAACTGCTGCGCTTTCCACCCGGGAAACAGGCACAACAGAGCCACAAGCAAGACTGAAGAATTGGGAGAAATGCATGTTTCAGATGCTTGGCTAACAATGCAATTAAAAATCAAGATGTTGGGTTTTAGGTATATGTTACCTCCATGGATGCTACACCAGGATTTAAAGGCTCAGGGATTTAAAGGTGTGAATTTTCAGGCAGAGCTGTGCACTAAAACAGGCAGCATGCAAGAGCATTGAGACAGCCCTGTGAAGGCTTTTGAACTGTCAGGCTGCTGGCTCTCAAATTTAATTTATACACATTCCCATATATATATATATATTATACTGCTCCCACTGAGCCACTGGAGAGAGGAAATGAAAGGGACTGTGGAGTCAGTAGCAGGTGCAGCGCGAAGCAGAGGCAGTTAATTAATAACCAGTTTAAGTCCAAGAGATGTGAGAGTCCAACCATCGCTGACAGACAAAGCGTTGAGCTGCTGTTTCCCTTGCTTTGCAGGATGCCAAAGTTTAACCAGAGACAGGTATGAATGTAGTGAACCTGTCATTTTCCTCAGCCACTTCAAACAAGCTCACTTTTCAAGCAGGACTTTTACTACGTGAAAGGTAAAAAAATTAAATAAATCAGTCTGATTGCCAGGGCCTTTCTTGGGGCACAACCACAAGACTTGAAAAGTGC